TCTCCTCCAGTGAGGCTGGCTCTGGCCTGGTGCCGCCCGCCGTCGCCACGCACCTTTTCGGTAGCTTCGGGTCGGTGATGATGGCGGTGATGCTTTTCATGGCCATCACCTCCACAGGCTCTGCCGAGGGCATCGCTGTCTCATCCCTGGTGACCTACGATATCTACAAGACCTACATCAACCCCCAGTGCACCGGGAAGCAGGCGCTGATGATCTCTAAGATTGTTGTGGTGGTGTTTGGCCTTCTCATGGGCGGGCTTGGTGTAGCCCTGAACTACATGGGCCTGAACCTGGGCTGGGTGTACCAATTCATGGGCAACGCCATCGGCTCCGCCGTCGTCCCCCTTTGGAACCTCCTGATGTGGAAGAACGCCAATGCCACCGGAGCTGTCGTTGCCGCCTGGGGTGGCATGGTCCTGGCTTTGTCCACCTGGCTCATCGTCTGCCAGGCAGAGTTTGGCGAGATCACCATCGACAACCTCGGCACCCTGAATCCGAACCTGGCTGGCAACATTGTTGCCTTGGTATCTTCGGGCCTGATTCACGCTGCCTTCTCCTTTGCCAGCCCCCAGAATTATGATTTCGAGTCCATGGGCAAGATCGACGCTTGCTTAGTAGACAGGCAGCCATGACCTGCTGCCTATTTGTATGTTTCTTTTTCAACATCTGACTGTTGATCTGCTTAGGGAAGGGAAGGAAAGGCTCGTAGTGTTGACCAGTGCCTGCCTGGGACAGCTTCAGCAAGCTAAGGAGATGCTTGAGCAGGACATGAGCGGGCTTGATGACCAGGACTACACCTCGGAGTTTCTGGATGCGGCCAAGTGGTGGATTCAGAAATGGGGCTACGGCTTCACCGTCCTCATGGTTCTCATTTGGCCTTTGCTTTCCTTGCCCGCCGGCGTCTTCACCACGGATTACTTCGCCTTCTGGGTCTTCATCAGCATCGCATGGAGCTTCGTGGCCACCTTCGTCATCATCGTCCTGCCCATCCAAGAGTCCTGGGGCGCCATCATGGGGGTGTGTTATTACATGGTCGGCAAGAAGGCCCCTGAGGCCACCACCAAGACTGCCGAGCCTGCGGCAGTTGACGCTTCTGAGAAAGCAGAGCTTCAGCTCTGAGTGTATTTTGTGAAGCAAGTGTTATGACCACTGCTGGGTTTAGTAGAGCAGGTGGAACCTGCCAGGCTTTTCGCTTCCGTGGACCCGTGGGAAAGCAGGTGGAGCCTGCACACCCCAAGGACCTGGCGTGCTCCAGCGATGCGGAAGCGCACGCTCGGAGCTCACGAGGCATCGCGGCCACGCATAGCGTCCCGTGATCCAACCTCGTGCTCAGCTGTCCTACCTCATTTATGTCCACAATGTTCGTTATCCTGTGCTGCCTTGTGGACTCAGGATAAAAGAGCATTTCAAAGTTGAAGCAGTGCGTTCATGAATGAACCTGAAGGGAGTGTTGTTCTGCGCCGCCCGTAGAAGTAGGAGCGCTGGGTCCAAGAAAGGGGCCACAGTTCGACTAACATCAGATGACAGCAATGCGAGTGTACCATCTATGAGTTATGAATGTATGACATGTTCATGGGTCCTTTTGGTCGTCGGGTCTTCAACGACGTATGCCAAGTTCTGAGGTGACAAAGCAAAGCTTCTATGAGAGCCATGGTAGTATTCCATCCCCCCCATTTTGATGCCATTCTTTCTAGCGTTGTCGCAGGGGTCGGGCTTCGGACATACTCTGTGATCGTTCTTGAAGCAGTCATCAGGGGATCCAGTTCGCAACGTCCTACACATTCAGGAGGCAGAGAATGGATTTGATAAGGTGCGAGCCAGATCTTAGATTGAACGTGGCTGAGCACTGGTTGAGCATCTTCCCATCATGACTGCAGCTTTGTCTTGAAGAGCAGTAGTTCTACTGTGCCTTGGCCGACGCCTCCCAGCCATCACCATGGCGACGACCGCGCAGTACGCAGGTCAGAGCAGCTTCTTCGGAGACAACACGCCGCTGCCCATTGAGTCCGGGTACGCCATCGTGCTTGGCTTTGGAGCTTTCTTCTCGGTGTTGACCACGGTGCTCGTGTATCTCGACAAGTATGCCAATGGCACGGAGCACACATCAGAATTCTTCAACACCGCGGGCCGATCAGTGAAGACGGGCTTGACGGCCTCCGTGATTGTGTCGCAGTGGACCTGGGCTGCGACGCTTCTTCAGTCTTCCAACGTGGCGTGGCAGTACGGAGTGTCTGGGCCGTTTTGGTACGCCAGCGGCGCGACGATCCAGGTCTTGCTCTTCGGCATCCTGGCCATCGAGATCAAGCGCCGTGCTCGGACTGCACACACCGTTTGCGAGATGGTCCTGGCAAGGCAATGATGCTCAGCCACAGCATGCTATAGCCATATTGCATGCGTGAGTGTCGGCGTAAGTGTGAGGCAGGCTAGGCGGAATACGACTGTTCTGCGGTTCGGGTAGTGCAGGTGGGGCAAGGCGGCGCACCTGACCTTCCTCTTCTTCGCGCTGCTGGCGAACGTCATCGTGACCTCCATGCTCCTGCTGGGTGGCGCAGCAACCGTGAATGCGCTGACCGGCGTGGACACGAACCTCGCTTCCTTCCTGATCCCCTGGGGCGTGATCTTGTACACGGCGGCTGGTGGCTTGAAGGCAACATTCATGGCCTCATACCTGCACACTGCCATCATTTTCCTGGTTCTGGTGGTGTGCGTGTACACTGTCTATGTGAAGAATTTCTCCTCCGACATGATCTATGAGGGCCTGCAGCGGGTGTCCGGTTACTCGACAGCACAGTGCGAGTCGATCTTCAGCCTGAACACCCAGACCTTCTTCGAAGCCGGCAAGTATGCCTGCGGACCTGTGAAGGAGAACGAGGGCGGATCCTACCTGACCATGCTCTCAGGGGGTGGCACCAAGTTCGGCATCATCAACATCGTGGGCAACTTCGGCACCGTCTTCGTGGACCAGTCGTACTGGCAGTCTGCGATCGCCGCAAAGCCGACCAGCGCGCACAAGGGCTACCTTCTGGGTGGGCTGGTTTGGTTCACCATCCCTTTTGCCCTCGCCACGTCCCTGGGGCTCTGTGCCGTGGCGCTGCAGCTGCCAATCTCCTCCAGTGAGGCTGGCTCTGGCCTGGTGCCGCCCGCCGTCGCCACGCACCTTTTCGGTAGCTTCGGGTCGGTGATGATGGCGGTGATGCTTTTCATGGCCATCACCTCCACAGGCTCTGCCGAGGGCATCGCTGTCTCATCCCTGGTGACCTACGATATCTACAAGACCTACATCAACCCCCAGTGCACCGGGAAGCAGGCGCTGATGATCTCTAAGATTGTTGTGGTAGTGTTTGGCCTTCTCATGGGCGGGCTTGGTGTAGCCCTGAACTACATGGGCCTGAACCTGGGGTGGGTGTACCAATTCATGGGCAACGCCATCGGTTCCGCCGTCGTCCCCCTTTGGAACCTTCTGATGTGGAAGAACGCCAATGCCACCGGAGCTGTCGTTGCCGCCTGGGGTGGCATGGTCCTGGCTTTGTCCACCTGGCTCATCGTCTGTCAGGCAGAGTTTGGCGAGATCACCATCGACAACCTCGGCACCCTGAATCCGAACCTGGCTGGCAACATTGTTGCCTTGGTATCTTCGGGCCTGATTCACGCTGCCTTCTCCTTTGCCAGCCCCCAGAATTATGATTTCGAGTCCATGGGCAAGATCGACGCTTGCTTAGTAGACAGGCAGCCATGACCTGCTGCCTATATATTTGTATGTGTCTTTTTCAACAACTATTGTTGATCTGTGTTGACCAGTGCCTCAGTGCCTGGGACAGCTTCAGCAAGCTAAGGAGATGCTTGAGCAGGACATGAGCGGGCTTGATGACCAGGACTACACCTCGGAGTTTCTGGATGCGGCCAAGTGGTGGATTCAGAAATGGGGCTACGGCTTCACCGTCCTCATGGTTCTCATTTGGCCTTTGCTTTCCTTGCCCGCCGGCGTCTTCACCACGGACTACTTTGCCTTCTGGGTCTTCATCAGCATCGCATGGAGCTTCGTGGCCACCTTCGTCATCATCGTCCTGCCCATCCAAGAGTCCTGGGGCGCCATCATGGGGGTGTGTTATTACATGGTCGGCAAGAAGGCCCCTGAGGCCACCACCAAGACTGCCGAGCCTGCGGCAGTTGACGCTTCTGAGAAAGCAGAGCTTCAGCTCTGAGTGTATTTTGTGAAGCAAGTGTTATGACCACTGCTGGGTTTAGTAGAGCAGGTGGAACCTGCCAGGCTTTTCGCTTCCGTGGACCCGTGGGAAAGCAGGTGGAGCCTGCACACCCCAAGGACCTGGCGTGCTCCAGCGATGCGGAAGCGCACGCTCGGAGCTCACGAGGCATCGCGGCCACGCATAGCGTCCCGTGATCCAACCTCGTGCTCAGCTGTCCTACCTCATTTATGTCCACAATGTTCGTTATCCTGTGCTGCCTTGTGGACTTAGGATAAAAGAGCATTTCAAAGTTGAAGCCGTGCGTTCATGAATGAACCTGAAGGGAGTGTTGTTCTGCGCCGCCCGCAGAAGTAGGAGCGCTGGGTCCAAGAAAGGGGCCACAGTTCGACTAACATCAGATGACAGCAATGCGAGTGTACCATCTATGAGTCATGAATGTATAACCTGTTCAAGGGTCCTTTTGGTCGTTGGGAAGTTCTGAGCTGACAAAGCAAAGCTTCTATGAGAGCCATGGTAGTATTCCATCCCCCCATTTTGATTCCATTCTTTCTGGCATTGTCGCAGGGGTCGGGCTTCGGACATACTCTGTGATCGTTCTTGAAGCAGTCATCAGGGGATCCAGTTCGCAACGTCCTACACATTCAGGAGACAGAGAATGGATTTGATGAGGTGCGAGCCAGATCTTAGATTGAACGTGGCTGATCACTGGTTGAGCATCTTCCCATCATGACTGCAGCTTTGTCTTGAAGAGCAGTAGTTCTACTGTGCCTTGGCCGACGCCTCCCAGCCATCACCATGGCGACGACCGCGCAGTACGCAGGTCAGAGCAGCTTCTTCGGAGACAACACGCCGCTGCCCATTGAGTCCGGGTACGCCATCGTGCTTGGCTTTGGAGCTTTCTTCTCGGTGTTGACCACGGTGCTCGTGTATCTCGACAAGTATGCCAATGGCACGGAGCACACATCAGAATTCTTCAACACCGCGGGCCGATCAGTGAAGACGGGCTTGACGGCCTCCGTGATTGTGTCGCAGTGGACCTGGGCTGCGACGCTTCTTCAGTCTTCCAACGTGGCGTGGCAGTACGGAGTGTCTGGGCCGTTTTGGTACGCCAGCGGCGCGACGATCCAGGTCTTGCTCTTCGGCATCCTGGCCATCGAGATCAAGCGCCGTGCTCGGACTGCGCACACCGTTTGCGAGATGGTCCTGGCAAGGCAATGATGCTCAGCCATTAGCATGCCACAGCCATAGTCACAAGCACGCGGTTTGCATGCGTGAGTGTCGGCGTAAGTGTGAGGCAGGTTAGGCGGAATACGACTGACTGTTCTGCAGTTCGGGTAGTGCAGGTGGGGCAAGGCGGCGCACCTGACCTTCCTCTTCTTCGCGCTGCTGGCGAACGTCATCGTGACCTCCATGCTCCTGCTGGGTGGCGCAGCAACCGTGAATGCGCTGACCGGCGTGGACACGAACCTCGCTTCCTTCCTGATCCCCTGGGGCGTGATCTTGTACACGGCGGCTGGTGGCTTGAAGGCAACATTCATGGCCTCATACCTGCACACTGCCATCATTTTCCTGGTTCTGGTGGTGTGCGTGTACACTGTCTATGTGAAGAATTTCTCCTCCGACATGATCTATGAGGGCCTGCAGCGGGTGTCCGGTTACTCGACAGCACAGTGCGAGTCGATCTTCAGCCTGAACACCCAGACCTTCTTCGAAGCCGGCAAGTATGCCTGCGGGCCTGTGAAGGAGAACGAGGGCGGATCCTACCTGACCATGCTCTCAGGGGGTGGCACCAAGTTCGGCATCATCAACATCGTGGGCAACTTCGGCACCGTCTTCGTGGACCAGTCGTACTGGCAGTCTGCGATCGCCGCAAAGCCGACCAGCGCGCACAAGGGCTACCTTCTGGGTGGGCTGGTTTGGTTCACCATCCCTTTTGCCCTCGCCACGTCCCTGGGGCTCTGTGCCGTGGCGCTGCAGCTGCCAATCTCCTCCAGTGAGGCTGGCTCTGGCCTGGTGCCGCCCGCCGTCGCCACGCACCTTTTCGGTAGCTTCGGGTCGGTGATGATGGCGGTGATGCTTTTCATGGCCATCACCTCCACAGGCTCTGCCGAGGGCATCGCTGTCTCATCCCTGGTGACCTACGATATCTACAAGACCTACATCAACCCCCAGTGCACCGGGAAGCAGGCGCTGATGATCTCCAAGATTGTTGTGGTGGTGTTTGGCCTTCTCATGGGCGGGCTTGGTGTAGCCCTGAACTACATGGGCCTGAACCTGGGCTGGGTGTACCAATTCATGGGCAACGCCATCGGCTCCGCCGTCGTCCCCCTTTGGAACCTCCTGATGTGGAAGAACGCCAATGCCACCGGAGCTGTCGTTGCCGCCTGGGGTGGCATGGTCCTGGCTTTGTCCACCTGGCTCATCGTCTGCCAGGCAGAGTTTGGCGAGATCACCATCGACAACCTCGGCACCCTGAATCCGAACCTGGCTGGCAACATTGTTGCCTTGGTATCTTCGGGCCTGATTCACGCCGCCTTCTCCTTTGCCAGCCCCCAGAATTATGATTTCGAGTCCATGGGCAAGATCGACGCTTGCTTAGTAGACAGGCAGCCATGACCTGCTGCCTATTTGTATGTTTCTTTTTCAACATCTGACTGTTGATCTGCTTAGGGAAGGGAAGGAAAGGCTCGTAGTGTTGACCAGTGCCTGCCTGGGACAGCTTCAGCAAGCTAAGGAGATGCTTGAGCAGGACATGAGCGGGCTTGATGACCAGGACTACACCTCGGAGTTTCTGGATGCGGCCAAGTGGTGGATTCAGAAATGGGGCTACGGCTTCACCGTCCTCATGGTTCTCATTTGGCCTTTGCTTTCCTTGCCCGCCGGCGTCTTCACTACGGACTACTTTGCCTTCTGGGTCTTCATCAGCATCGCATGGAGCTTCGTGGCCACCTTCGTTATCATCGTCCTGCCCATCCAAGAGTCCTGGGGCGCCATCATGGGGGTGTGTTACTACATGGTCGGCAAGAAGGCCCCTGAGGCCACCACCAAGACTGCCGAGCCTGCGGCAGTTGACGCTGCTCCTGAGAAAGCAGAGCTTCAAGCTTGAGCGTTCTCTTTTCGAAACTTTTACAAATGTTATGACCACTGCTGGGTTTAGTAGAGCAGGTGGAACCTGCCAGGCTTTTCGCTTCCGTGGACCCGTGGGAAAGCAGGTGGAGCCTGCACACCCCAAGGACCTAGCATGCTCCAGCGATGCGGAAGCGCACGCTCGGAGCTCACGAGGCATGTCGCGGCCACGCAGAGCGTCCCGTGATCCAACCTTGTGCTCAGCTGGGTCCTACCGCATTTATGTCCACAGTGTTCGTTATCCTGTGCATGCAGGTTTGGTTGCACAGTTCGCCAGCAACATACTTTCGTGAGCTCTAGATCTGTGCATGGAGAGTTCTAGGCTTTGCTATGAGTGCTTGATCTTCTCCGTCCTTGCATTTCCACATCGCCCGCAAAGTAAGTCTAGAGTGCCTTGCATCATGATCACAGTCGTCGAAGCCCACTGAAGCCTAACCCTCGCCGGGGGGTCTTTGTTTTTGGCTCAATGCTCCCCAGCCTGACTCTGTTCAGGACAAGGGCCAGGCCGGCACAGTCGCAGTGGTGTGGAAGAATGCTCTGTGCTGCATCGATATTAGGGGGTTTCTGAAATTAGGGTACCTTGTTGGGATCCTTATTCTAAGGCATCGCACTATTTGGGGGACAATGTTCGGGGTCCCTCATTTTCGTGAACTGCGATGCCGACGCACCGGATCATCCTCCTGCAGAGGCCACCATCGCCTGCGATGGCATCGTACCGGCCTGCCAAGGGCTTCATAGCCTCAGGCCTGAAACCATGGATGCAGTGAACATGGCCTTGCCGATATAAACTTTACTCTCCACAACCTTAGCCTCCTAACAAGCACGCAAGTTGGGTAGCATGTGTGAATTCACAGCCGAAGCACTGACGAGCGTGCAAATTCCAACCTGGAGCACAGACGAAATGCTCTCACAGACCGCTGCACTTAGTGCCCTGGTGCAAGCAGGTGTGCTGCTGATCTCCCTAAGCCTTTCCATTGTGTACCACGCTGTGGTGCCCTTCTCAGCTAGACTCCTTCAATCTGGTCCACAAGAGTCCCAACTCCAATCACAGACCTTTCAGTCGAGGTCTTGCCTAGGGACGATGCTTTCGTGGGCCCAGCCTCCGCGCCGACTGCGGGCGCAGGCGCACAAGAACCTGTAAGGTTTCGACCAGGATTTGGCCTCTGGCTTCTGGCTGCTGTTGTGGCACGCTGCGCCCCAAAATTCACAAACAGAGCACGATTCCACAGCAGCATTGGATGCGCACCACAGCAGCACCAAAGCCCCTCATCATCCCAACCCCAACCCTTTACCCTTTACCCCCAACCCTTTACCCTTTACCCTTTACCCTTTACCCTTTACCCTAAACCCTTTACCCCTAATAACCAAAGCTGCCTTCTCGAGCGGAGGGGGGCTCGCCCTCCGGGGCGCCAGCGGCGCGGCAGAGAGGGCCCCATCCAGCATGCCAGGAGGCACATGCTCCGTGCAGGGCTTCGAGATTTTTCGGGAGTGTACTCGGGTTTGAGCTTTTGAGTTTTGATAAGAGTGTTCTGGGCCTTCAGCCCCAGGTCCCCCCATATGGGGGTGCAACAGAGGATCTGAGCTATCAGTCCAGGAGGGAGCGCCGCCTTGGGCGCCTCCGCTGCTTGTCTGCTTCTGCTGAAGGCGGCGCACAACATGAGGAGGCGCCGAGTTGCGGGGAATTGAGCGACCTTTGAAGCCAACTGCAGCGAATCCCCGTTCGCTCTTTCAGTCTTCCCGGTTCGGCCTTTAAGCTTTTTTTTTGCGCCTGCCTGCGCCCATTGTTGCTGAAGATGAGTACCGATCAGGGCTTCTCTTCTGGTTGTTAGCTCTGGGAAGTGGCATCATCTCTGGCTTGTGTTCCGTGTTCGGCGTGGGCCTGGAGTTGAGCCGCAAGAAACAGCTCTGCAAGGGGTCATGTACCATTCCTAAGAGAATATAGAGAAGCCCTCAGAAAAGGACCTTCAAACGAAACCGAAGTTTGGAACAATCCCCATGTCAATCATGTAGTACATCCTTAAACCCTAAACCCTAAACCCTAAACCCTAAAGTAGTACATCCTTAAACCCTAACCACTAAAGTAGTACATCCTTATACCCTAAACCTAAACCCTAGCCTCCAAACCCGAAACCCTATCCCTGTGCGTGCCTGGGCTCAGGAAGGATGCGACTCGCTTGGCGCGCACCATAGTCAAGGCAGTGATGCTTCAGAAGCATACTTCCAGGAAGTCTCCCCCCCTAAACCCTGAACCCTAAACCCTAAACCCTAATCCCTAAACCCTAAACCCTAAACTTCCCAAAACGAAACCAGCGCTGAAACGCACGACGTACTGGGCATCTGTGGGAAGCGCAGTGTGGCGCAAGAGAGTGCAGGCAGAAGGCCAAGGCCGACCTCTGGAATCGCTGAAAGTTGGCGAGGAGCGTGTGCCCCAGGAAGCTGCGATGCTTGAGTTTATGTACCCCAAACCCTCAGCCCTCAACCCTAAACCCTAAGCCCTGAACCCTGAACCCTAGGCCAGATCAGAAATGGGGGGGAGCCAGGGTTCAGGGTTTTTAGGGTTGGATTCCGCTCACGCCGCCGTCATAACTGAGGGTGAGCGGCACCGTGACCCGCGATGCGAGAATCGGCGTCTACGTCGACATCGGTGCAGAGAAGGCGAGTCTTCAGAGCTATTTCAGGCGTAGCACATGGGCAGTTCTCTAAATTGGGGTCCTTTTGTGGGTTTTTGCTTGAAACGGATCCCCCCTCAAACAAGACGTCCTCATTGAGAGGACTACCCACGTGGTAGCAGCGTAGGGCAGAAGCGCAGAAGAAGGTGCTTCCGAGGTGGAGGTGGAAAGGTGTGGGTTTGCATTTTCACTCCCCCCGTTTAGCAAGGTTTCTTTTTGCCCGCTGCAGCCTGGCAGTCACAGCGAAAGAGTCTGCACATGCCACATGCCCGTTGCCTGCCAGCCTGCCCTTCTTCCGCGGAACATGGTTCCGAAGGCCAGGCCGCTCTGCATTGGACAGTCTTGCCTGCCGAAGTTGATTTTTTATTTCTAGATGTGGGAATTCCATGGCAGTCTGTGCCAGGACAAGCGGTACGAGACTGGTGACGAGATTTCGGGCTTGAAGATCTGGCAGGCTCAGTCGCGAAGTTCTGGCGACTTGTGTGCAGCCTCTTGTTGGAAAGGGCTCTGTCGTGCACTTTGGCCCAAGTTCTTGTCGCCTTGCTTGCGAGGTCGAGGCAGGAGACACCCCTGCGACTCGCAAGATCAGGCAGGAAGTGGCGAGTATGCGGAGGATCACGCCCCCGTCGACGTAGCTGAGAGAATGACGACCATGGCATCATGTGGCAACATATGTGGGTCACAATCATAATGATGAAAATAACAAGAATAGTATTAATAATGATAGCAAATAATAATAGTAGTAATGATAAGAATTCATCATCATCATCATCATCATCACCACCATCATCATCATCATCATCATCATCATCATGATCTTCGCAAGGGTGACGCTGGGCGAGCTGCCCAGCTCCTTCGAGGCGGGCCAGAAGGCGCCCGTTTTGCAAGCGCTGGGTTTGGGAGGAGGATGCAGCGTGCAGCAGTCGCCTTCAAATGTCGCCAGGTCAAGGGCACAGTGTCCAGCACGCAGAGCTACGGCGTTTTCTTTGACATCGGTGGCATGAAGCAGCGGGGGGAGCTTGCACAGAGTGTTGCGGTCGGGCTGTGATATGTTGAAGCAGAGCTTGCTTTCCATAGGGGTGCTTGTCTGCTGTGCCACATCTTCCGGGTTTGTGCCTATCTCTTCTTCAAGGTCCTGAAGGCTCTTACATCTTTTTGTAGAGGTTCTTGTGCCAGCTTTCAGCAAGAACTCCAAAGCCTGAGATGCAGCTCACACACCATGCGTGGGCCTAGCATGGCATAGCACGGCGTAGCGGTGCAGCCTACGGTGCAGCCTACGGCGCAGCCTTGTGCAGCTGGTTTCTGCTGTTCCCGGTGCAGGGATGCCTTGGCGCCTGCAAGAACCTTGAGCAAGCGACCGATGGAGTATGAAGCGGGTGAGGACCGGCCGCGGATGCAGTCTTAGGCTGCGAAGCTCTTGGACAGTAGTGCCGCCGGCACTACGGTCAGTATCCGTTGTGGGGCGCGTGATCTTCTGCGCTGAACGAAAGTATGGTCTGTGGCCTCAAAGGCGCGTCCCCTTGGCAGGAAGTTGAGCTCGAGGTGATCTCCATCGAGGGCGACAAGGCCCCCCCCCCCTTGGCAATGGAAAGGTTTTAGGGCATCCCTAAGGAAAGGGAGGGGGCGGAGAATCCTATAACTCTTTGCCGTGCCAAAAGCAGGATTCATTCTTGCCTTTTTTGTGGTGGACTTGCGCCCAGATCACTGTTGGCCTCGTGGGCATGGAGGCAAAGGTCGCGGCGAAGGCTGCATCCACTTCCAAGGCCAATGTCCCCGAACCGAGACACCCTGACTCCTTTCAGACTTTCGCCGAGCTTCTTGGGCTGCTATGCACCCCGCAACAGGCCCTCGCGCAGCTCACGGTCGGGCAGGCCATCGAAGGCGGGATCCATGCTCTTCCTTACGTTGTAGGTTAGCCGGGTGACTCCGGTAGAGTTTTGCAGCATCTTCCATGTGCTGCCCGGCGCGTGAGCTTCTTGGAGGCACCATCGCCAACGTGAACGAGAAGTGTCCCAGCGTGGCACAGGATAGCTTCGGGACGGCCTTGTGAACTCGGGCAATGTGCAGGTTTAGGGTGAATATCAGTGAAGTGTTGAGAGGCAGCTTTGCATTCGACAGCATGGTTAACATGGATCCAGGGCTGAAGGTGTCGCACTGGATCACATGCTTTCGCATGTGAGGTACGGCATCTTCATCAACATCGGCATTGGCATCGATGCCCTTTGTACGTCTTCTCAGCTGGACAAACCAATTGAGGAGTACGAGGTGCCTGCGCATTCCTGCCCGCGATGCACCTTGAAGAGTGCATGTCCATCCTACCAGCACCAAGACCTGAGCACACATTGCCGGCATTGTGGTAGAGATAGCATGAGTCATGAGGCAACGCCTGGACCTTTGCGGTCTCAAGCCTCAAGCCCTCACATCCCTACGTCCGGTGCCAGAGCTGAATTGCCAAGTTGCAAATACAGATCCCCTCTGACAGGTGGGCGACACGATCAACGTCAAGGCTCGTGACCGTGGTGACTTCGCAGAAACAGCGCTTTGCGGCCCAGCATGATCCGAAGGTGGCCAATGTGGATGTGGTCCAGGAGCGTGTAGAGGTCACCACCCGCCCACTCTCGCCCTGCGCTCAGCCCCAACTCGCCCTGACTCGCCCCGAAGCCGCTTCGCCCTAAAGCCGACGAAAGGCCCGGCTCTGATGTCCAAGGTCCGAAGCAAAGCCGGGCCAGAAGGTGGAGGGTACCATGATCAGTGAAGCCAAGGTCGGGCTTCCCAACAGGGAGCCGGTTTGCGCAAGATTTCAGAGTCCTGTTCTTGCTGCAGGCTGGCATCTTCTTCGATGCCGGCTACTCCAGGGACTTCCTTGCCCCAATCTCCATGCTCAGCGGGGCTCCGAGAAAAGGTCACACTTTCTCTTTCTCCTGAGCACACAGTGCTGACAACAATGACGCCGTGCAGACCTCTAGCCTTTAGGCAAGCCAAAAGAGGAGTACACGCGTGGTGAGGCCAGTGCCTGAGAACTGAGCAGGTTTAAGTTGGTCTCACAAGCTCTCGCGCCGCTTCAAAGAGTTTTTGGGGCGCAAAGGTTGCCGATCTGACCGTTATGAATGTCGAGGGCGACCGTGTCGTCGTGTCGGACAAGCAGGCCTTCCTGGGGCCTAAGGGAACGGGGCATCGCGGCATCGCTGGGATGCGCAGGTAGTGTTCAGATTGATCGGCTGGTGGGCTGCTTATAACTTTGATAGGAAGCCAGGATTTGGAGTGGTTACGTTTCGAGACATGGCGCTTTCTTGCAGGATGTGGGCCAGCCCATTGCAAGTTTCGTTCGCGGTCAAGAAGTTACTGGCAAAGCCCGGCACCAAGATTCTCCGAATCTTGGTGCTGCAGGCTGGTGAAACCCAGCATGCAGAGTTGCCTCGACGCATGGCTCGCAGATGCTCGCAGTGCCAGCATTCCTTCTGCCGCACGAGCAGTTTCCACTGTTCCTGCCTTGCCGAGTCGCTCCGTAGTTTTGCTGGGGACTTATGCATGGCGGTCCCCCCCCTTCAACTCCTCCACTGATGCAAGGCCCGGGGCTTCCGCGTTCCCCCAAGCTGCGCAAGAGCAAAGCCGCATACAGCGAACCCTAAACCCTAAGAGCCCCAAGCCCGAAACCCGAAACCCCTCGACCCTCAACCCTCAACCCTTAAACCCTCAACCCTTCAACCCTCAACCCTAACCCTCCCCTCCCCCCCCAGCCCGCTGGCCTCCCATCGAGGTCCTCAAATACAACGAGGGTCTCGGTCTCTTCGTGGACGTGGGCGCTTCTCGGGAGCGCCCTCTGATGCCCCTGTTAAGGGTTTAGGGCTTAGGGCTTAGGGCTTAGGGTTTAGGGCTTAGGGTTTATGGTTTAGGGTTTAGGGTTGGGGGGGGTGCGGGGGGAAGGGGGGGCTGGGTGTCCTTGAAAGGTGTCGGAAAGGTAGACCCCTATACAAGTTCTCTAGAGGTCCCGATTTGGGGCTTTACGAAAGTAAGGCAACCCCAAAAAAGACCCCCAAGTAGTAGGATTCCCCCATTTCATAAGAACCCCAAGAAGGGACCCCCTAATGTCGGAAACCCCTTCCAATGGCCCAAAAGCACAAGACTTGAAGAAGCTATCGAACCGCTCCCCTGATTTTCCGGGAATCACATCCTCGCCAGGACGCGCTCTGGCGAACCAAGGGCCCGGGGGCCACGGTGCTGCCCAAGGATCCCAAGGAGATCCTGTGCCCTGAGATTCCCTCTTGCTGTCTTCGGTCGGGTCTTACATACCTCTACCCATGTGCCGAAGTCTTGGCATGTCTTCCTGAGCACAGGAGTATGCGGTGGGGGAGGAGGCTCAGCCCAGTACATGTGACAACGGCGGTTTCGGTATTTATCTGCTGGCTTTGCTTGGAGAGATCGGAGACTTCATTTGCTTTGTTTGCCAGTTTCTTCTCGGTGGAGGTGACTGGTTTGATGATCACCCGGCTGGACCCCTCCTCACAGACTTTGGAGGAGCGCGACATCTCGCGATGGCATGCGGCACCAGTGTCACGCTGTGTATTTTGCTGCGGAGCCTACCAGGATGTATGCAGAGAGCGAGAGAGCGAGAGAGCGAGAGAGCGAGAGAGAGAGAGAGTGAGAGGAGCATGCGGAGACAGGTTTTTGAAGAGGGCCTTTGTGTGTTGACGTCAGTCAGCGTGTGCTCCCGCTGAGTTTCATGTTACACATGGTCACTGAGTCATTTCTCCAAAATATAGCCCCTTTTGAGGTCCTTATTGACGGCCCCCTTCCTATTTAGCGTACCCACAAAGGGACCCCCTCATTTTGAGAGCTGACCACCTCCACGCATAAAAAGGTAGAAAGTTTCTCAGGGCAGTTCGATGTCCGAAGTTGCGCAGGTGGCGATGCCCGGAGCTGCACTGGTGCAGACGAGCCCCGCCCCTGGGAGAGGAGGTGTAACTGCAGGTCTCTGAGCGGAGCCCTCGGGTAACAAGGGGGTCGGAATAATTACTAATAGTATTCCCTTATGGTACCTATGTAAACATATGATAACCCCCAAAGCCCTAGTCCAATTGTCAAAGCCACTATGTTATTCACCTTTCTGCAGCCTGAATATGTGAAGGCGCTGGGAAGAAGCGGGGCAAGCAAAAATGACAACGCTCATGTTCATTCGTGGCTAGAGTTCACTCAAAGCCTGCAAAGCCACCAGTCCATCCGTCTACTGGAGGGCGAGTTAGTCATTGCAAATCACTGTAGAGCCTTTAGTCTCAAAGCAAACGGAGGTCTTACAAGGGCCGTTTTCTGAATTCGAAGTGTCCATGATATAGGACTACCCTACTAGCGAGGCATCAGGAAATCTGTATGTTGCAACAAGGAAGAGGCTGGGTTTGGATCACGTTCTTCCTGCGACATGTGTTGGTCCACTTGGGAGTGAATCCTCTTCTCGTCGCGGGGTGGTGCTTGAAGTCTTGGGCGTTACGCCGTACCAAGGGGATGTTGCTTGTGTATTGTGTCCAGCCTGTGGGAACTTGGCAGTTCCTGCGGTTCTCCTTGTGTCTGCTGGCATTGCGTGGGCGTGTGCGTGTGAGACGACCCTTGAAGTTCGGATCCGAGATGTATTAGTACCCCTAGTTTAGCCCAGCCTATTCTCCGGCTTGCTTCTCTGAGAAGTTGGCCGTCTTGCCATGTCATTATCCAACCTCATGCTTGATGTTTTTTTGACACGTTTGGGGAGAGCTCGTTCAATCTCTTGCATCCTTGAGGTCTGTCCATGGAGACCATGAAGGCCACCCCTTGAGCTCAAAAGGTTTCCTGTGCTTCAGCCTTTGAGAAACTTTTGCCATCTGTGACCCCGGACTCACGGAGAGGTTGGCGACGAGGTGTCGGGTACGGTGACCAGGACCATTGCATTCGGACCCTTGGAGCATTGGTGAGTCGAGAACGCTTGGCGGCGAATCCGCGCTCCCCAAAATTGTTCGCAGATGGCTTTGCATCAACTGGGGCGCGTATCGACATTTGTTGCAAAATCTTCAACAAGAAGAGAGTTTGGTTACGGGAGGAGGGGAAGGGGGCCAAGATGCCCCAACACCAGCTTGCAAGGGCGGAGGACGCGGCAAAAAACGAGATAACCAGGCCCTGATGATGCTCGCCAGGGGAGGTGGGATACATTGCCCAGGGTCGGCGGGCCTAAGCTAGCCCCGGCCAATCGTCCTGTTAGGAATAAAAAAAGTATGTAGGGATGATCCCCGTCTGGCCTTCTAGTCAGAGCCCCCCCGCTATTTCCCCGCCCCCACCCCGTGGGGTGTTGCTATCATGATGACGATGACGATGACGATGATGATGATGATGATGATGATGATGAGGATGATGATGATGATGAAGATGAGGATGATGATGATGATGATGATGATGACGGTTATTATGATTGTGAAAATGATTCTGCTAAGACGTATGTACGGGGTGTGCTGAGTTCTTCCGCTACCAGCCACACCGTCGGAGAGCACTCCCTGCCTGCTTTTGCCTTTCAAGGCGTTTTCGTTGACATCGGTGCCGAGAGGGATGCCTTGTACGTGGCAGCCCTGGCAGTGTCGCAAACAAGCTTTAGGGTTTAGGGTTTAGGGTTTAGGGTTTAGGGCATCTGCTCCCAAACCGGGAGCGATTTCTCTTTGTCGCTGAGAACGTCTCGCAGCTCGACAAGCCGCTGAGCGACTACCAGGTCGGCGACAAACTGGAAGGCGAGGGCGATGCGGGGGAAGATGGTGAGGACTGCTACTGCTACTGTAAGGAATCTTCAGGTGTGCCCCCTAAATCCCCCCTCATGACCCTTTACGGGATTAACACAATAGAGGGGGGGCCCTAATTCCCCAGCTCCTTAAAGTGAACCTTAGATATTCTCAAACCTCTCCCTCGCTCTGCCTTTGCCTTCTGACATCCTGGCAGGTCTGCGCGTGACCGAGGCAAAGTGGGTCAAGTGGTTGGGGGAGAGGGAGCTTCTAAACCCCCCTGTGGGGTTTGGGCTTTAGGGTTTTCATTCTGCCCCCCGTGGTTGATGGTTGGCTTGGGGTTTAGGGTTCAAGGATCAGGGCTGTAGGTTTACGGTTTCCCCTCTCCCTCCTGTGGTTCATGGTGGGTTTAGGGTTCAGGGTTGAGGGTGCCAGGTAACGGCGGGTTTCTCCTCTCACCCCCAGTGGTTCGCGGTTTTGTGGGTTTTGGAGGGGCGGGGATAGCATGGGGAGGGGTCGATACCATGGTAAACAAGAAGTCGAGAACACGGAGCGCTGACGCATTTGGACCCACACGCATGCAGATTTCTACATCTTTGTATGCTTGGAACTTGGTGGTAAGCCCCAAAAAATTGAGGTGGACGCCGAGCGCCAGCGCCTCGCTGTCTCCATGCGACCGGTGGCCTCGCAGTACGAGGTCGGTCAGGAGGTGTCTGGCAAGGCCATGGGGCCGCGGGGGGGTGAGGTTCAGGATTCAGGTTTGAAGGTAGGGGTTTCCGAACTTTTCTTAACTTACCACAAGAAGGTTTTGTAGGAAACGGTCTGGTGCCGTCAATGGTAACTTCGTTGAAGTTCCTGAACAAGAGCCCAGCTTAGGGGTTTTACAGGTTCAGGCGATGTGGTGCGGGTAGCCGTGCTCACCCTGAGCCAAGGACGGACTTCGGGTAGGCCGGAAGGAGCACACGATGAGCAGCCCCGCCTCAATCCACCCAATCCCAGCTCTGAACACGAACGCAGACCCTAAACCCTAACCCCTAAACCCTAAACCCTAAACCCTAAACCCTAAACTCTAAAGTCATGCCTGAGTTTCTAAGCCTGCGGAAGGTGCTAGCGCAGGCATTGAACATAGCATCAGCAAGCCCAGAGCATCCGTCGAGCAACGCGGCCCTGTACTGTGTAAGCTGGGCATAGGCATAGGAAAAAGAGACATGTGGTTGCTCACTGTTTGAGTGCACGTAGTGCAGTTCCTAGCTTCACAAGGTCCTTGCAGGGGCTAACTGGGTAAACCCCAAACTAAACGATAAGCCGCAAAAGCTACGCCAACAGTGGGCAGGTCACAAAGATTATGGAGTTCGGCCTGTTCATCGACATTGGGGCGCCGCAAGCTGAGAAATACTCAAGCCAGCTTGTCGTGGTACCTGGCTAGTTATTATATTGCACATATATATATATATATATATCTGTATACAGATATCAATACATATGGATGAGAGTATACAAAATGTATATATATATATATGTATATATCCACATATATATGCTTTTACAACAAACAGTGTGTGTCAACACTCAGGGAGTCCTGCGGGGCAGGTCGCTGAAATTGAAGGCACCCACGGCCTGGACCATGCGTTCTTCTCGAAGCGTCCTCGCATAAGAGGACGAGAATCGCGCTCTCGCCAAGGGCGAGGGCGTGACCGCGCTCGCCGTCCTCGCAACTGCTTTGCTGCTGGACGTCTGTGTTCGCCGGCCTCGAAACTGTCGTCGCTTTTGGACGCCTGTGTTCGCCAAACGCAAAGCTGTGAAACTGTTGTTGCTTTTAGACGTCCAGGTGCTTGGTGTCTTTTTTGACTCTTTGGACCATTGGTGTGCTTTTTCGTGTCCCCATGGTCTCCCACTGTTTTGGGTCGTTAGTTTTTGGATGCATATTTGATATATATATATATATATACACATAAGAAAATGCACAAATACACATATATATATATATGATTATATATATATAGATATGATTATATATGGAGGGAAAAATGATGAACATTGGATACATGTTGGATAATTAGTAGAGTTTTTGCAATCTTAGGTAAGCGATAGATTTTCGAATGATTTTCGATAAATATTAGTTATTGCCTACATGCTCGATAAATTCGGTTTACACAGTTCTACAGACATCACACATCTGAGGCATATTTGAGAGGTAAGCTAGAAGCTTTGGCCTTCTTGGCAAGGTCAGTGGATGCTTTAGCGCCGACCGCACTTCTCGACAAAGAGACGAGCGAGCACCTGGCCCGCAGAGAGGTTGACGTGTTACTGGCTTGAGGTGTTGGCCACCCCTTTCGGCAGTAGTGGAAGGCAAGCATCATCCTAGTCAAAAGACGCAGACATAAAACAAGGTCCTCTCTACATTTCGCCCTAAAACTTGAAATCCGGTGCCTTTTCCGAAGTTGGCCATCTCATCAAACTCAGATTTCCCCATGCTCTTGGGACTCGGCCACCGTGCTGACTTTCTTCCTGATTGTATCGGCACGTACTAGCACTGCCTGGCGGAGCTTTGCTTGTCGCTACTGCCGCCGCTGCTACTGTACTGCGTCTTTCGGTTGAAGGGCTCCTTCAAAGGAAAGAGGTTTGCCAGGCGTTTTAGGCGCCCTGGCCCCGAGTGAGCATCTTTAACATCCTCAAAGCTTCGCAGAAGTGAAGCTTGATCCTGTATAAGCGGTATACGCTCCAAGTAACGTGCTGAAGCAAGAACTCCTTAGCACTGCAATGGCCCAGGTACTCAGAGGGTGACGCGCTGCGCCCAGAAGCAGACGAGAAGAGGGTGTTTTTTAGTCACGAGAAGCCTCGTAACTCAGGTGCTTGACGATCTGAAGGTGACCCGAGTGGACGAATCTGGCAACAAGATTGCGGTTGCCCAGCACATTCAGCACATTCAGCACGTTCAGCATGTTCAGCACGTTCAGCGCAATCAGCAGATTCAGCAGATTCAGCAGATTCAGCCGATTCAGCAATCTCGTCAAACGTGCAGGCAGAAGGTGGCAGAAGTGTAAAGTTGAGATTGAACGTCGCCCTGCATGCCGAGCATCATGGAGCATGTTGCTGAGCTCATGGTGCCCAGGTTGGCCAGAAGGCTGGCAGCGGCAGCTCAGAAGCCACCAGGAGCATCGAGTCCCTCGAGGCTCCCCGCGTGCTGCGTAGGCTCCGGCGATTTGGAGGGTCGTGAAAGTGATTTTTTTGTGACAGAGAAAGGTTTGTGATGCGGCTTGGTCAAGAGTCTTATTATACAAAGGATACATCGGATGCAGGGAAATCCGAGAGGGTTTCCCAGTCTGCCAGTCCATACATGCATCGCAGACGCTTGGAAGACCCTTTCCCTTTCGCTGGTTGATGTTTCATTGCTCTTGATTTGCAAGGTCGGCACCAAGGTGTCTGGTGCCGCGTGCTCAGCACAAATGTGCCAGCGTTTAAGGTTGGCTCGAGTTTTGCAAGTGAGCGTGGTAACTCACAGCGTATGGCTGGGGGCATCGTGGTGTGCCGAAACCGATCCTGGATGAGGTCGTTCGCGGCATTCGGGACTGCTGTGCTGTGGGCTTTGAGGTTTTGGGCTTCGTTCAGTTAGTGGTTCCCGTTGGAAGGGTGCTTTGACCGAAGATCTCTCGGATGATGTGCTTGGCAGCAGTGAATGACATGGGGTTTCCGATATTGGGGGGTACCTTGGGGTCCTTATTACAAGGGAATTCTGCTATTTGTGGGTTTGTATTGGGGCCCATTATTTTTTCGTGCATATGGAGGAGTACGGCATCTTCGTGGATATCGGCCTGGGGAGATCGGATGCCCTCATGCCAAATTCTATGTTGGGCGATGTGGTGCCAGCCTGAGTCTGAACAGATGGGTTTAGGGTTTAGGGTTTAGGGTTTAGGGTTTAGGGCTTAGATGGATTCTCCGTCCTACCACACCCTGGTGCATCTGCACCTAGATCTCTGTTGTCACCGCTGCATGCGCACCGCCCGAGTGCCGTGAGTGTGGCTTTCTAGAGGCTATATGTGAAGACTCAAGTCCAAGATCCGTAGAGAGCTTTGAGTGGCTCAGACCTCCGCGGCCTTCAAGCCCAACCAGCAGATCGAGGCCATCGAGGGGTGCCAGTTGTGGGAGTTCACGTCTACAGGTTTCCATTGCCTCTTTTCATTCCAAGTCGCCGTTCTCCGGCATCGGCTGATGGATACCGACGCGCATCGCACCCTGCACTTGACTTCAGGTCTACATCGCGCAGGTTGATGCCGCGCAGAACCGTGTCACTGTCAGTGGCTTGACAGCATCAAGGCTCAAGACCGCCTACAGTTATACAGTTCTACAGTTCTACAGTTCTACAGTTATACAGTTATACAGTTATACAGTTCTACAGTTATACATGTAGAATCACTTGAGAAAGCCCTTCGGTGGCCCAGGCGCTGTGGAACCCACAGAGGAGATGCGTCAACGTCGTGGCAGGCCCGAGAGTACTGTTCATCTCTTGGGAGGTCTTCGGGATCCCTGGGAGGTCATCAGACTCAGAAGCCGTTTAGGGTTTAGGGTTTAGGGTTTAGGGTTTGGGGTTTAGGGTTTAGGGTTTAGGGTTTAGTGGGTCAGAGTTCCATCATGATCGCCAGGGGCGGCAGTGGAGCCGCGGCTTCGAGCATCGACAGCATCGGCCCAAGAGTGCTTGTGCGGAGAGTGCTCTTTCAGCTGGGATCGTCTGGTGTCCTTAGGCTACATCCCACAGGGATTCATGATCCCGGACCCCAAGCGGCATGTGGAGATCATCGGACGCGAAGAGCTGATTGATCCGGAGAGCTGGGAGTCAAAACCTAGCAACAGGAGGTCCTGTGGGTCCTGTGGGTTTCGGGTTTAGGGTATCTCGATGTCGTAGACGGCATGACTCACGTGTAAGCTCCTGCTTGCAGGAGCCGATTCCCTGGTACGAGTGGGCTGAGAAGTTCCCTGGATTCATCCGGTTTCAAGAGAAGGACGGGGCGTTGATGTGTCCAAGAATTGCATCTCCGGTGGGAACTCTGCTTCCGCTTTGGTCAAAAGGTGTCAGTTCTCATGTTTGAAGTGTAAAAGAGTTCAGTACTTATTAGGTGGTGGTTTGCCTTGGAGATGTTGAGCTCATCTCGGCCACTGTTGAGCAAAGGCAGGCACGCCACGTTTCAGTTGGTGATGCTGACAGACCAGCCTTGGCAAGTTGCCACTGGTCAAGGTTGACAGGTTGACAAAATGGGCATGTTCTGTGTAAGCGCGCCCACGCGTGCTTTGTAGATCCCCTAAGCTGTACACACTGAAAGAGGTGAGTACCCCAAAGACGGTTGGTCACTGTGCTAGAGTCCGGGCCACCCTCGAAGCTACTGTCTCTGCCCGACTGCCAACAGTCCAGCATGCTCAAGGGAGGCGGGCAGCTAGCATCCCTGTTAACTCCCACCCCTCGGTCCCCAGGATCAGATTGTCACCATTTCCGTTCGTGCACACGGCTTCTACGGCGAGAAGGAGCTGCGTTCAGCCACCCCGGTCAGCGGCCCGAGGGGAAGCGCAGCACCAACGAGGCACTTTTTGTGGGTGGAGTCGGGACATGGCACGAGTGGAATGGGATTTGCGATCAGGCTCTTGCCAGCTTTCTGGCAGCCTGCCATCGCCCAGGTCCACATCCCTGTGCCTGCTCACCTGCAGAAAGCCGATGCCAAGCAACCCACAAAGGAGGACTTGCTCATGAAGTTGGAGGAGCGACGTGGGCATTGTGAGATGCCAGCTTTCGACTTCGCAGCAATTCAGCGACAAGCAAAGCAGGTTTCGGTCCGATGTTTCAATGCTTTGCCCGCCAGCGGAGACCCCAAAACGGCCCGAACTCAAGGATGACGTAACCACGAAAGATGCCCCCCCATGCAGGAGGGGTTGGCAAGAGGGGATGTGCGCCAAATGCGAAGAGCCTCCAAGAGCCTCCAATCCTCGGGGTCCCCTTTTCTTTCTTTTGCAACTCCAGGACCAGCCGATGCCAAACTACGACAATGGCATCAAGCCCGAGATTCACATCAAGTACCGCAGATCCCTGAGAAATGGGCAGCTGCTTCTGAGCCCACTAAGTGCCTCAAAAAGTCTGAATTGAGCTGCTTTGCAGGCCAGCCGCCTCTCAACGACCCCAACTGGCGTGTCTTGGCTGAAGTTGGCCGAAGCTCCTGCATGCAAAGCCTCCTCATGCAGCGCCATCGGAAGCTACCGAAAGTATGCGCATGGTCGGCGCGTGTATGGGCAAGATTGTCTGGCGGCAACACACCTCAGAAGCAGAGATCTACACCCCCAGACGGTTTCAGAAGAAGAAGAAGAAGAAGAAGAAGAAGAAGAAGAAGAAGAAGAAGAAGAAGAAGAAGAAGAAGAAGAAGAAGAAGAAGAAGAAGAAGAAGAAGAAGAAGAAGAAATCTGAGAGCAAGTAGGGATGGAGAGGAGGGATGCCCCCAGGCTGTCCCCAAGATGCCCCAGTAGTTCCGCCGCATGAGTGGTCGGCTCGCTAGGTGAGCACCCTGCGCCGGATCGGGTGCCCATCACCATGGACTTCAAGGCCCAGCTTGCGAATTTTCAACGGTCACTCAACAACCTGAATTAGGAGATCCCTTCTCTCCCCCCCCCCCCCGCCCGCTTTCTCCCCCTCTCTCTCTCTCTCCCCCTAATTCCTGGCGAGACCGTGGTGGAGCGCGCCGGGCCCTTTGTGCCCGAAGAGAAGCCCGGCCAAAAGAAAGTGAAGGCGGGTCCTGGAAGGGAGGTACTGAGCCCAACCCTGACATCAGCCCTGATCACAAAGCATCATCAACGACCAAAGGCTCATGACCAAACTCAGAATTCCCAGCTGCTCTGGTCCAGGAGGGAGGCGACGACTGAGAACTTTTCCGCAGGGCAACGCGCCTCTGAGCCGATGCCCCCGCGCAGAGCGAATCGCCCAGCTCAAGAGGCCGCGGCACCTCATGAGACAGCCCCAAGGCCGCGCTGAGCCTATCCGAACCCTCAACTTGCCCTCCTAAGCATGCCCCAAACAACGCCCCTAAGAACAAGGAGCATCTTTAAAGCATCCCTAAAGCATCCCTAGAGGAGCATACTCAGACAACCCCCCCAGACCCTGAGAAAAACCGCCGCTCGCGAAGGGATCGGAGTGCCTGCCAGGAACTGCCAGAGTCTTTGGAAGCTCAGTTGACGAGTTCTTGTGATCTTAGGGTTCAGGGTTTAGGGTTTAGGGTTGGCTTAGGGTTTAGGGTTTAGGGTTTAGGGTTTAGGTTTAGGGTTTAGGGTTTAGGGTGTAGGGTTATGGTCGTCCAGGAGTCGGGGATCCCTTTTTTCCCGTATTCGAATCTACTTCTACCTACTTGTCTAGCCTTGTATATGTAAGGGATGTCGGTGAGCCGTGGATCTTTTTCCCCATCCAGGAGACCCTGGCAGGACAGCTCGGATGCTTTCAAGTGAGCCGCGTGCCACAAAAATGGTCGCAACAGCTCGGCTCTGCACGTCTGATGTTCACGGCTTGCTTAGAGATTAGCTTAGAGGTGCTTAAGCAGTTTTGACGCATTGCCGTAGCAAGATCTGGCGCAAGCAGTCTGTGGGAACTTGGAGACCCTGCGCTACAACCTCTGAGTGAATCTAGTACTAGATGTTGGACCTCGCCATCACAACAAAAACTCGCCATCACAACAAAAAGCGGGTATATCAGGTACCGGTGGACCAGCAACATGAATCGCCCTCCCAAGCTCGAGTACCATCCTAAACCCCAACATCTCCATCGGCCCTTGCTGACCTTGCGGGGCTGCACTGATGGCCATGCTTCCCAAGTGCCCTACCTGCAGTACGTGACCTCGTGTTGCAGGGTGTGGGGGGGGGGGGGGGGGGCGGCCGATGCGGCCGCGGCTTGGCGATCGCGTATGGGGAATCGAGACCTCGCGTTGCGGGGGTGTGCTAGAATCTAGGGTTGGTTATGGGAGACTTGCCTGAACATCTCAGCTGTGAGCCCTGGGTAGGCCCTCCTTATACTCCTTGTTGCCTGCTCTGAGGCCCTTCGTGGACCTGTCCAGCTGCTGGACGGACCTGGCCTGGGAGCCCAGAGGATGGCGAAGAGATCTTCGCACAGCTCAGCTGACCCCGACACCTCAAAAAGAGCCCAATTTGAGAGTCCAATGTGGGAGCCCAACTTGAGAGCCCAAATTTGAGAGCCTTGTCCCAGTCCACGCTTGCTGCTGCGGAGTCGGCCCAGAAGGTGGGACTTGGATCGAATGGGCCAGGGAACTTTCCGAGTCCTGGGCTTCTCTGGAGGTGGTCGCTCAGTCCACGATGCTGGCGATGGCGCGCCTGCTTGGGGGCACGGAGGAGAGCTGTGACAAGCCAAGGTTTGTGGAAGATTCTTGGGACCCCCTTGCCTTTGCCATGCCTGAATGGCGATGCCGAGCCTTGCAGCAGAGGGATCCGTCTGAGAATCCCCAAAAAACCTACAGCCAGAATTCCAAGCCCCACCCGTCAATGCCATCTCTGCGATAGTGTGTGAGCAGTAGAGGCATCCACAGCCACGCAGCATAGGATAGGACCGTGGCATTGAATCGCCCGTAGAAAGCAGAGCCACTTGCCGCCATGCTGTCACGGCTGTGGGGCATTGTGCAAAGCCTCGCCACCAAGAGGCTCGATTTTTTGCTCAGGATCCTCTCATCTCATTCTGCTTTCAGAGAGCTTTGTGTTGCTTGAGCTTACGAGACTTGCGAGCCCTGAATTCCTGAGCCCTTCTTGGGGGCGAAGGCCTTCGCAGGCGGCAGAGGAGGCGCCGCCTGCAAAGAGGGCACGAGCGCGGCTCGGTGGCACGAAGGCCCCCCATACAATGGCACTCGCAAGGGTGCCATTGGGATTCTGATACTCCCTGAGACTTCTTTGGCTCCGGGCATCGGGGGGACGAAGGCTACTTGTGCCTGGTTTGGCGAGCATTCTCTTCCGTGGTTGCTCAGCATGAAGGCTTTTGTGCGCGTGGTAGGTGGTCACCAGTCTGTACCCAGAATAGGGGCACAGTACCAGTATGCACCAAACAGGCTCCCATAGCTTACTCCTCCGCCATAAGACGTCGTGGCTTGGTCCGCCCCAAACTGCCCTCTGCTCGCACCGTCCCGCACGGATGCCGGCAAAACATGATGAAGCAAGAGCAGAACTACCAGGGCTACGGCCCGAGGCCTAGGCCCTAGGCAGATTTTGGGAACCATCTGCAGCCGAGGACGGGCGTTGACAATGAGGCGGAGGCGGGGCCTTCTCTCGACAATTTGTTTAGACTGCGGGGGTCGCCATCCTGTACCGCACAGATCATATGCTGACAAGCACATGAGTTGTCTTCTCACATCGGTCAAGATCCTAGCAGGTTCCAGCCAAGGCCCAGCACTACCATGACCAAGTCTTTTTTGACTCCCGTCGCAGTCTGCATGGCCAGGCAGGACCTTCAACATTGCGTCCGACTCCATCGCAGGCCTTTTCCAGAGATTCGAAACCGGGTGCATGAGACTCGCAGGTCCGGTCTTCCGGGCGGGGGCGTTACTGTAAGAAGCCTCATATACATATACATGTATATGCATATATATATATATATATATATATATGGTAAGCCCCCCCCCATGATCCACACCTATGGTTTTCTTGTCTTCGTCTTTGTCTGATTTTCTTCTTTTTCCTCGGAAAAATGCAGTCAAAACTGCACTGGAATACAAAAAGCTCTAGTATATTATCCTCTATAAAAACACTAGTGTTTTTATGGGCATTTTGCTTCTGAAACTTGTGTCTTGCGGCCCCATGAAATTTTAGAAGGGTAGCAATTAGAAGTTTAAGGCTTTTCAGGGTTTAAGGGGTTTGTAAAATGTAGATGATCTGTGGAAGGCACCGGGGCTTCCCCAGACCATTTGCAATTTTAAAAATCCTTTAAAGGGGCAGCCCTTTTCAAATTTGAAGGGTTTTAAGGTACTTAAAGCCTTTCAAAAATTTCAAGATTTAGAGGATCTTAAAAGGCTTTAAAGCCCTTAAAAACCTCGAAGCGTTTATCCCTTAAAAGTCTAAAATTCCTTAAAAATTAAAAACGGGCAGCCGTTTAAAATTAAGGAAGTCACGGATTTTAGAATCGAACATCCTAAAAACTTTAAACTTCAAAAGGACAGCCATTTACAACTGCAAGAATTTCAGGGTTTTACGGATTTGTAAAAATCTATATGGTCTGGGGAAGGCACCGGGGCTTCTCCAGACCATTGGCAACTTCAAAAATCTCTAAAATCCGCAAAGGGCAGCCACTTAAATACGTAAGCAATTTAAGGTCTTTAATAGGCTTAAAAGCCTTAAAACCTTCAAAATCCTGAGAATGTTTAAACAGAAGCTTAAAGATTTTTATAAGATTTTAAGGATTTTCAAAGTTTAGATGGTCTGGGGAAGCCCCAGTGCCTTCCCCAGATCATGTAAACTTGCAAAAACCCTTAAACCCTTAACCCTAAAAACTTAACACTAAGCCCGTAGCACAAACCCCAAACACTTAACATGAAAGCCTAAACACTAACCCTAAACACTTAACACTAAGCCCTTAGCACAAACCCCAAACACTTAACATGAAACCCTAAACATTTAACTAGACCCTAAACACTAAACCCTAAACACGTAAACACTACACCCGACCCTAAAAACTAAACCGTAAACACTAAACCCTAAACATTACACACTAAACCCTACACACTAAACCCTGAACACTAGTAAAAATCCTTAAAACCCTTAATCCAAAAAACCAAACCCGAAACCCTTAACACTAAACACGAAACAGTCAGCACTAGACCCTAAAGAGTAACCCTAAAAAACTTAACACTAGGCCCACGAACCCCAAACACTTGACACGAAACCCTAAACACATAAGCACTACTAAACCCTAAAAACTCAGCACCAGACCCTAAACACGAACCCTAAAAACTTAAGACTAAGCCCTTAGCACAAACCCCAAACACTTAACAGGAAACCCTAAACACTTAAGCACTAGACCCTGAACACTAAACCCTAAACCCTTAAACACTACACCCTAAAAACTAAACCCTAAACATTACACACTAAACCCTACACACTAAACCCTGAACACTAGTAAAAACCCTTAAAACCCGTAACCCAAAAAAGAAACCGAAACCCTTAGCACTGAACCCTAAACACTCAGAAGTAGACCCTTAACACTAAGCCTAAAAGCTTAACACTAAGCCCTTAGCACGAACCCCAAACACTGAACACGAAACCCTAAACACTTAAGCACTAAGCCCTTTCTAAACACTAAACCCAAAACACTTAAACACTACACCCTAAAAACTATGCCCTAAACATTACACACTAAACCCTACACACTAAACCCTGAAAACTGAACCCTAAACCCTAAACAGAAGGATTTTCAAGTTGTCAATGGTCTGGAGAAGCACAGTTGCCTTCCCCAGGTCATTTAAATTTGTAAAAATCCTTAAAACCCTTAACCCTAAAAAACCAAACCCGAAACCCTTAACACTAAACCCTAAACACTAACCCTAAAGCTTAATACTAAGCCCTTAGCACAAACCCCAAACACTTAGCACGAAACCCTAAACACTTTAGCACTTAACCCAAAAACTAAACCTTAAACATTTCAAACTAAACCCTAAACGTTAGACACTAAACCCTGAACACTAAACTCTAAACCCTAAACAGTAAACCCCAAAGCCGGAACCTCGAGCCCTACTAAATCTAAACCTGAAACCAAAAACCCATCGGGGTTTCAGATGCTTACTGTTTGGATATCAGAGTTTAGGGTTTTTTGGGTTTTAGCCGAGCCGCTTGACCCTAAACCCTAAACCCTAAACCCTAAACTTAACACTCAACCCTAAACACAAAACACTAAACCCTGAAACCTACACACTAAACCCTAAACACTAGATTTCCAGAAAAAGTCTGGCGTACCCGGGCCCCGGACTCCAGACTCCAGATTTCCAGAAAAAATCTGGAGTACCGGGGCCCCGAACTCCAGACTCCAGATTTCCAGAAAAAATCTGGAGTACCGGGGCACCGGACTCCAGACTCCAGATTTCCAGAAAAGATCTGGAGTACCCGGGCCCCGGACTCCAGACTCCAGATTTCCAGAAAAAATCTGGAGTACCCGGGGCCCCGGACTCCAGACTCCAGATTTCCAGAAAAAATCTGGAGTACCAGGGCCCCGGACTCCAGACTCCAGATTTCCAGAAAAAATCTGGAGTACCCGGGCCCCAGACTCCAGACTCCAGATTTCCAGAAAAAATCTGGAGTACCCGGGGCCCCAGACTCCAGACTCCAGATTTCCAGAAAAAATCTGGAGTACCCGCGGCCCCAGACTCCAGATTACAGACTCCAGAATCTGGAGTCCAGGGTCCCGGTACTCCAGATTTTTTCTGGAAATCTGGAGTCTGGAGTCCGGGGCCCCGTACTCCAGATTTTTTCTGGAAATCTGGAGTCTGGAGTCCGGGGCCCGGTACTCCAGATTTTTTCTGGAAATCTGGAGTCTGGAGTCCGGGGGTACTCCAGATTTTTTCTGGAAATCTGGAGTCTGGAGTCCCCCCCCTCCCAAAACCCCCTTCTCGAGGCCAAATGTGTGGATCATGGGGGGGGGGGCGAGCATATATATATATATATAAACCAAAAATACCAAAACCAAAAAAACCAAAAAACCAAAACCAAAAAAACCAAAAACACCAAAACCAAAAAAGCCAAAAAAACCAAAACCAAAAAAACCAAAAATACCAAAAAAAACCAATTTTCCGGGACTCTCAGGAAATCCCTATGAGGCTTCTCCAAGAGTCCCGGAAAATTGTTTTTTTTGGTATTTTTGGTTTTGTTTTTCTTTTTTTTTTGGTTTTTTTGGTTTTGGTATTTTTGGTTTTTGGTTTTGGTATTTTGGCTTTTTGGTTCGCCTTCATGGTCACGAGGCAACAACTACGCATTTTTAAGTGTGCTTATGCTAATTGTGCTTTTCAGAAATGGTATACAAGTGGTCTTTCTAGTGCTTCAGAACTATTTGTTTCGTTATTATGTAAGTAGAGCCGCTAGTGTTTAGTGCATCTTTTGGTTGTACTCAAGTGTAGTAGGCCTTATTCAGCCATTACTTGGTGCTCTGGTAGCTCAATTCGCATGGATAATATTTGCCTGGTAAATGCGATTAATTATCTAGAAGCAGCATTTGCAATACTTGTCTTGAGAAAAAGCATTTATTGCTTAGAATTGTTTGCTGAAAAAGTGACTCCTACTCGTCCAGGAATACCCCAAAACCCTATAATCCAAACTTTACCAGAGATTCTCCTGAAAAGCTTGCGCTTTTGGATGTTTTTATGTATTTGTGAATTTGCTTGTGTATGGCCTTCACTAAGTACTTGTCTAGGATTCTTGTGCATTTTTTAAGCCTGATTGTGCAAGTTGCGTTTTTCAAGCATGGTATATATATATATATATGTGGTCTTTATTGAATACTTCAGACATCTTTGTTCATCGTTATGTAAGTAGAACCGCTTCTATTTCCATTATTGTGCATCGCTTGCTCATGCAAATTGTGCTTTTCAGACATAGTATATAAGTGGTCTTTATTTAGTGAATACTTCAGCAATCTTTGTCTCATTGTTATGTAGGTAGAACCGTTTCCATTTCCGCAAGTGTTTATTTCGTATTTGGTTGAGTATGGTCCTTTAAATAGTATTCACTTGAGTCAAATTGGGTTATTTGCTTAAGAATTCCTCTAGTAGTTAAATTCGCATAGAATGAATACTTCAAAAAAATTGTTTCATGAATATGTAAACATAAGGTGTTTCATTTGACTTTGCAGATAGTACTTCAATAATACTTTGCCTGGTATAAACACAACTGTTTCAATGCATTAGTTGCTCAACAAAGCACTATTTGCCCTTTAACCCACACTTTGCCATATTTTGGTTGAATATGGTGCTTCTTTCGTATTTTGGTTGAGTATGGTCCTTTAATTGGTATTCACTTGAGTCAAATTGGGCTATTTGCTTAATAATTACTCTAGTAGCTAAATTCGCATAAAATGATTATTTCAAAAAGAAAAACGATTCATGAATATGTAAACATAAGGTATTTCAGTGGGCTTTTCAGAGAGCATACTTTGCCTAGTACAAACACAATTGTATAAATACAGTATTTGCACTTTAAACGCACACTTTGCCATTTTTTGGTTGAAAATGGTGTCTATTTCGTATCTTGGTTGAGTATGCTCCTTTAAATAGTATTCACTTGAGTCAAATTGGGCTCTTTGCTTAATAATTACTCTAGTAGCTAAATTCGCATAGAACCAAGAAACATGTTTCACTATTTGATGAATACTTTGCCTCGTACAAACACAATTGTATTAATAAATTAGTTGCTCAAGAAAACATTAATTGCCCTTGAAGCGCACAATTTGCATAGAAAAACACTGATCTAAACATCTAAAAACAGCATTGTCCGCTTCAGATTCAAAATGTAGATTCTTCCAATGCTAGCTTATCGGGGTCTGTGAGGTGGGTGTCCCAGTAACTGTCCTTCATTACCCGGTGATTAACTACGCGACTTTTGGGCCTTCTTTGTTTTTTTTTTGTTAAAAAGGCCTAAAAAGGCCTAAAAAGGCCTAAAAAGGGTAGGTCGCTGGGGGGGGGGGGGGGGTAGCATATATATGTATATGTACAAATATAAATAAAAAATTATACAAATAAATAAATACATATTTATTTCTTATATAATAGCTTGCGGCTTAAGGAGACAAAAAGGGCTCCTGGGCTTGCAGTCGCCTTGGGCACTGGGAGGCCAGCCGGGTCCCGCCCAAGGCAGCGGAGGCGCACTCCGCCTTCGGACTCCGCAACGGTTCCTTAAGCCCTAAACCCTAAACCCTACAAACCCTACAAACCCTACAAACCCTACAAACCCTAAAAACCCTAAACCCTAAACCCTCAACCCTAAACCCTAAACCCTAAACCCTAAACCCTAAACCCTACAAACCCTTCAACTCCTAAACCCTAAACCCTATAACCTAGATCCCTAGCAGCCGTAGTTCAAACGCCTTTTTGTTTTTGCCAGTTCAAGCTCATACTTCTTGGAGACGGTGGAGTCGGCAAGACCTCCTTTGCCGGGTCCTGAGAGTACTTTCAGATAGGATTTAGGGTTTGGGGTTTAGGGTTGAGGGTTTTGGGTTAGGGGTTTAGGGTTTAGGGGTTGGGGGCTCTGAGCGATGAATCGACCTGCGGCTGGATTGGGTGCTTTTGCGTCTCTTGTCGAGAGCACTTGCAGTCAGAGGAACATGTGCGGGGACGTCCAGCAGCCCACACGGGAACTTCAGAAGGCGAGCGCCTTCGCGCGTTCACTCCAGATTGCCCCGGAACATCAGGTCAAGCGACACTTGACGGGGGAGTTCGTGAAGAAGTACCGGCCAACTGAGGTGCCTTTGAGCCTGAACTTGCCTTGGGTTCCCTTGTTGGAGCATCGCTTGGCTCTCAGGAGCATGGGCTTTTTTGGTTCCTAAGGGCTCTATTAGGGCGTCAGCTTTTGGGGGTTCTCTTGTCCGAAGCATGGCCTCAGGGCTGCGAGATGAAGACCTTGAAGATCTCCACGAGTTTCTGGGACGCATCTTCGGGGTTTGTCGACTTTCTGCCGGTTGGTCAGGAGTTTGATTTGTGGCTTCGGCTTTCAATGAAGACCATGTGAAGCCTGCGCCCGCTTACCGTCTTGCTAGTGCTGCCTGCCCAGGTAGAGGTCCAGTCCGCTTCAATGTCTGGGACACTGCCGGCCAGGCTGATGGCACCCTTTCGCTCGATACAGACCTGCGCACCAGAAGACTTTCAACGGAGTGGCACGAGCAAATAGACCCTCAGGATCACCTTTCGGGACTCCGAGACGGCTATTTCATCGGTGCCAGCCTGGGAGTGTAATCTGTGAAGCTGTGCAGCCCAGCCCCTTCTGTCTTTAGAGGCTTTGCCCGGAAGGTGCGCTCGCCCCAAGCCAACCCCCAGTCACTCATCCCTTCTGATCTCTCTGCAAAGCACCCGAAGATGGTAAGCGCCGCCACTCAGGTGGTAGGTCTGCTTGAGAGAGAAGGTTGTCTGATGTCTGCTGGGTTCAGAAAATGGGAAGCATGGTGGCAACCCACATTCCTCTGATTCCACGTCTTGAGTCAGCAGGTGCTCAGTGTGCCATGGTTTTCTTTGATGTCCGGGGGCCTCAGTTCGGGCACCGGGAGTTCACAAAGTCCCGGAAAAGGAGGCCAGCAGGATTCAGATGCTTTGGGGGCTGGACCGAGATCCGCTGTGCACCCGAAGGCAGTTCTATCTGTAGTGCCTCCAGTGTTGAAGCCCTGTGGAGTTGTGGTCACAGTGTGGTCAAGCTTTCCGATACAGAAAGGACAACCGCTATACTGGCCAGTTATACTGCGTGAAGCCCGTCGGTCCAAGGTGACGAACCTCCAGAGCCACCAGAACGTGTCCAAGTGGGTCACGGAGCTGAGGCCCGCGCGGCTCGAGAGCAGCTCTTGCATCATGCTTAGCCATGCTTAGCCTGTTTCGAGGAAGGTGGCCGGAGACATTCCTGTGGTGGTCGTTGGGAACAAGGTGGATGCCGGCGGCAGACTGGTCAAGGCACGATGCCCTCACCAAGCTGTGGGTAAGTTGGTTGAAGTGCTCTGGAATCAAGAGAATCTTTCAGAGCATCGCCGAGTGCTTGTGGACTGTAGAGGGAGACCTGCCACATCATGATGCAGGGCATCAGGCTCAAGGTTTGTGTTGTACAGTGGTCCAGCTGTTCATCCTTGCATCGAAGCTGCAATGCCAATCAATCGGTTCCGTGGAGAATTCTTTTTCCTGTCGAACTTCTTTCCCTGCCGGCAGGGTGTGGAGTTCGAAGGTGATCTGTACCCAACTTCTGAGCATGCGTACCAAGCCGCTAAGATTGAGGACAGGGACGGAAGGGATTCGTTCACACGGGGCGGGTCTCTTGGTGACAACCCCATGGATGCAAAAGCAAAGGGTGGAAAGGTCAAGAAGCGTCCGGATTGGGATAACCGGAAAGTGGACGTAATGTTGGCCGTCGTTCGCTCCAAGTTCGCCAGGGATGCGGACTTGCGCAAGAAGTTGCGTGCCACACGTGGTCAACAGCTTGTGGAAGGTCACACGGGCGACAGATTCTGGGGCGGAAGGAGGAATCATCTTGGCAACATCCTCATGCGCGTGCGGGATGAGCTTCCAGAAGAAAAGACCCAGACGGAGGTTCCAGATGAGGAGGATGACGCCGAGACCGCGCATCCCAAGTGCAAGAGAAGCAAAGGCAACCAACATCGCCGAGCTAAGTTTCAAGACCAGAGGGATTCATGGATGGAGCAGGGTGAGCCACAAGGTTCCGCCAGTTCAACCGATGAAGCATCCTGCGCAGAGCCTGAGATCGACGGCACCTCTTCCCACTCGGGCCTCTCCGAGACCTTGCCAGACTGGCTTCAACTTGCCCTGGCCCAAGAGATCACCGACTCAGCCGATCTCGAGAGTGCTATGTGCGCCATGGAGGTCATCTTGGCAAACGTCGAGGGTGACCCGCACGAGACCCTAGCAGACGCAGCCAAGATGCTCCGAGAGGATTTTGGCGCCCCGAAGACTGCCGATGACTTGATCAAGAACTGGCTCTCCCGTCCATGCTGACCATGTTCCCAGACCTTGCCAACCAGAGGACGCATGCGACGCATGGAGTTGCGTTCCGAAGGCCCTAAACCCGAAACCCCAAAACCCTGGGTCCTAACCCTAAACCCACAGACCTTTGCACCGAGAGACGAGGTTCCGACTCTGGTTCCGGGCCCTCCCTTTCTGAGACGTTCTCCGTAGAAGCCGTCTTTTGTAGGAACTAGACCTGAGGGTACTACAAACCGACTGCCCACTGTGGTAACTTTGCTATAAGGGGGGGAAGGACCCAATCCATAGCTCTCTAATGGCATGACGCAGAGGAAGGCCTGTTAGGATCTCTGTCTCGGACGATCGCTGTACAGCTTGGATTTGAAGCAAGAATGGTCAAGACTTTTGCAACACATTCCTTGCCAAAACAGACCCACCCACTCACCCACCGCTGCCCTCCAAGCCCTTTCGGGTTGCAAAGATGAGGGTTTGGGTCTTGGTGGTCAGGAGTTCACGGTCTGACGCCGAGGGTTTGGGGTGTCAGCGAAACTTCATGAGCAAAGTCAAAGCTTGAGCCCAAAGCTCCACCAACACCCTCACGTTGAGCGGCCGTGGGGCACCTTAGCCCGAATCCCCAAAGCCTGGGAACACCTCCTGATCCACCCTCCAGCCCTTCCAAGATCCCAAGTGCCCATTGCGAAACCCGATCTGAACCCTTTGCAGGGCCTTGTTCAGGCTGCTTAGGGCTTGGGGTTTAGGGTTTGAGGGTTTAGGGCTCAGGGTTCAGGGTTTAGGATTTGAGCTGTAGGTTTCAGGGTTCAGGATTCAGGGTTTAAGGTTTAGGGTTTAGTACCACAGTACCTGGGGCTTAGGCGGCGAATCCTAACAGTACGGGTGGGTGTGGCGTTCTGGGCGAGTTTATTCAAACGTTATGAGATTCGCCATCGATGTGCCAGTGCTTGATAAGGGGAAATCGTTGTGCATGCGATTCTTTGCCAAGGGCCTCGGTTCATCTTCGCAAGCTCGACTGTTCATGTTGAAACCGCTGTCGTGTACAAGAGGAGAGGAATATTAATGTACACTTGAAGCATGGGGTGCAGCCTAACTTATGCAAATGGAATTCCTGCCCTTTGTCTGTGATATGGATCAAGGGCGCTTGATCCAGCCACATGCCTGCAAGTTGTTGCTTGTGACATCCTTTCCTTCGCTGCTGGTGCCTTGCAAGCTGTATGCAGCAAGATTGGTGAAGGCATTCTTGGTGTGTAGCTTGTCTTTTTGCAGGGCCTGAGCCCTAAACCACATAAAGCCGCGAAGCACAGACATCAAGCCAGACGAAGCCGCAGGCACAGGAGGGCTCGCTGCTCATGCGGAAACTGAAGGCGCGTGCACAGCCATCGGAGTCCAGAGTGCACAGTGCTTGAGACGTAGCCCCCGGGAGCCGCATATCGCCCTCTTGGCATGTTCTCTCAGGTCCAGTACTACGACCTCAGTGTGCCACTTGCTTCAGTTTGGGGGTGTGGCCTTCCAGACTCTCATCGAGCCCGAGTGTGCAAATGACCCACGTCATGTTGCAACCAAAGGGTCTCTAGATACGGCAAGCCTCTCTATCTCTCATCTATCTGCACAATCGTCTTGCCGTCGTGAATGCAGGAAAACCAAGTGACTTTTAGAAGCAGCGGGAAGATTCAGAGTGTGCCATATTCCTGGTCGCTTCTCAAGGAGGCTATGCCCGCTCATCTTCTGATATATTTCTTGGAGGGAGACGGAACCCGAAAACTTCCCAACCTGTGGAATGGGTTTAGGGTTTAGGGTTTAGGGTTTAGGGCTTAGGGCTTAGGGTTTAGGGTTTAGGGCTAGGCGGGGCCACAACAGACCCACGCGTTTTCGGCAGTTTAGCTCTGTTGCCCTCAGAATCCCCTGTAAATACCGATGTTTCCTGGGTTTCGCACCTCACCTCATCCCCGCAATTTTTATCCAAAACTATCCTGCAATTTTTTGGGCATCCGTAGACTGCACTGGTATTTGTGGGTTTTTTTGCACTCCTTCGCACTTTCGACGCGTCCTAAACTAAGCCCTGTCTTGCTTGCATCCGCTTCTGCCCAGCCCTGGGTCTAAATAACACGTTTGCTTCACCATAGTTAGAAGAGAGCATCCATGGCCCAACCATGATGACGTCCATAGTCTAATCCGTTCTGGGAAGAGAGTATCCATGGCCCAAGCATGATGACGTCCATGGTCTACTCTGTTCTGATGAGAAGAGAGCATCCATGGCCCAAGCATGATGACGTCCATGGTCTACATGTTTTCTGCACTGCCATGGCCCAACCATGATGACGTCCGTGGTCTCCTCCGTTCTGGGAAGAGAGCATCCAGGGTCCAAGCATGATGACCCATGGTCTATTCTGCTCTGATGAGAAGAGAGCATCCATGGCCCAAGCATGATGACGTCCATGGTTTACATCGTCTGATCCATTCCGAGAAGGTTAAACCTTCTTCTGGGCAGAAATGGCTGGAGGTTCTTGCTTTTAGGCGCACTGGGGAGCAGAAAGGCCTCATTTCTCAACACTAAAGGCGGTGACCTAAGTCCTGCATCTCAGGTTTGCTGGTGGGGCCACAGTTTTGCGCGGGTCTGTTGTGGACCCGCCAGGGTTTAGGGTCTTGTCAGATCGTCGAGTTCAAAGGACAATAAGCATCCTCACAATCGGGGTTGACTTGAAATCCCGGGCCGCTTTGATTGGGTTTCTGTGACACTGGGCCTCCCGACAGCTTACGGTACCCAAAGGGTACAAAATCAAGCACCCTAAGCCCTAAACCCCCTAAGCCCTAAACCCCTACACGACCTTCAACGACCTTCACGAAGCACACTCCGGCCCCAAGGCGTAGCCACTTCAACATGGAGGTGGGTCCTTGCGAGTTGTTTGGGGCTTGCGGTCGGGCTTGAGGCTTGAGATATCTGGCTGAGATCTCGGAGAAGACGAGGGGCCCTCCGCGTCAACAGTGTTCCGCTTCTGGCCCGCTTCCCCCTTCCCCCCTCGCTATTTCTTTGCGTTCAGGGTTTAGGGCTTAGGGTCTAGGGCTTGGGGTTTTGAGCCCCTGGGCTCCCAAAACTTCAACTAGCCCGAATTCCCTAAACCCCAAAGATCCCTCAGCTTCAAGACTTCTAAGCACCAGACGTGGCGAGAGTCCCTGTTGAGACCTGTCAGTATAGGGGGAACATCCCAACACCAGACCCTAGCCTCAGACCTTCTTCAACCCCACCCTAAACCTGAGTTCCGAAACCCGAAACCCTGAACCCTGAACCCTAAACCCTAAACCCTAAGCCCTGAGCCCTGAACCCTGAACCCTGAACCCTAAACCCTAAACCCTAAACCCTAAACCCTAAAGATCCTCGTCAGGCGCCTCTGCTTTTCATGTCTCGGCGGCTCCTCGGAGACAGGAACCTGAGGCTCGAGCGGCTAGGGGAGGTTGAGGCGCCAAGGAAAATGGGGAAAAGGGGTTAGGGTTTAGGGTTTAGGGTTTTGGGTTTAGGCAGCAGAGGAGTTTATAATAGATACATATTATGATAGAGTGTGGCAGATTTAGATATGTATACACACATATTTATTTGTGTTGTTGTATAACCACAGATTTTTGTACATGTTAAAATCTGTCTCAGACAGTATTCCATATCACCAGATTTTCTTAGAGGTTACAAGGCATTCTTAAGGAAACGCTCTTTTTTGGTGATATTGAATTGTCAGTGCTCGGAGGGCCCACAGCCAAGCTTAGACCTGGACAGGCTTACGCCCGAGGCGGGCGCTCGGCCGCCAGAGACAGCGCTGCCCCCTGCTGCAGATCAAAGGCCTTTCGGCGGCGCCCTAAACCCTAAACCCTAAACCCTACACCCTACACCCTACACCCTAAACCCTAAACCCTAAACCCTAAACCCTAAACCCTAAACCCTAAACCCTAAACCCTAAACCCTAAACCCTAAACCCTAAACCCTACACCCTAAACCCTAAATCCTAAACCCTAAACCCGAATCGTGTTTTCCGTTCGACTCTCCTGTCTGGGTTCCTTCTTATGATGGAACTCAGAGTCCAGGCTTTTTGCTTATACCAAGCCGCAGGCGAGCAGCCATGGAGCTCGCGGAGGCCCTCAATGTGGCGATCCATGATAGCGACGACGACCTCTGAGCATCAGGAGGTTTAGGGTTTAGGGTTTAGTTGCCATTCCTTCAAATCATTTCAAATCTGACATGGGCTTAAGACAAGGCTCCCCCCGTTGCTGATGCTTATGTGCAAGTGCCCGCGCGACTTTGCTGGGCTTTTCCTGCCATGCCCCTGCGTGAGCGGCTAGAGAATCCGAGCAGCCTATCGCGGTCCCCACATAAGGCTTTGCAGATCAGATGATTCAGATGGTAACAGAACGCTCTTAATGCTCTTTGGGTTTCTGGCCGCACATGCTGCGACTCTCTGGCGTACAGATGTGAGAGGGCTGGTCCGAGCAGGGGAGTGCAGGCAGTACAGCTTATGGTGAAGGGGCTCAAACGCAGTCCCAGACCTCGACCACCTCGGAGCTCTTCAGAACATTGCCTCTGCTTTGCCTCTGCTTGCTTCGGGTTCGCAAAGCTTTTGCAGTGCCTCCCCAGGACCCGGATGTCCCGGCAGAGGAGGAGGAGCCTGCGAAGCAGTTTGGGAAGTGGGTCATGGACCATCAATTTCAGACCTGTCTCCATACCGGGAGCTTTGCTTGAGACACTTTTAGAGCTCGGAGGTAGGCCCGGTAGGCCCGGTAGGCCCTCGAAACGCCCTGACGCCTTCAAGACAGCTGCGAAGCAGCTTGCGACCGGTACCGCCGTTTACCGCCCTTCCGCTGCTCGAGACCCTCGGTCCGAACACAGACATGACCTCCGATGTCCGACTGCTGGGCAGAAATGCGAGGTGCATCGAGGCAGGCACCAGCCCTCCGGCTTTTTTGAATCTACTTGACCGGGGCAATAGTAGGCCATCTTGCACAGACCCAGCAGACGCAGCCTTAAGAGCAGACGCAGCCTTAAGATCCGAGAGTTGGGAAGAGAGCATCACTGCAATCACCATTCCGGTTTGGCCGGCGGCACCGGAGCCATGGCATCTCTGGGAGTGGGCCGTCCTGGGGAGCTCCAGCAGCTGCATAAGGGAAGGGATCCTTCAGCTGCTTCTTTGAGTCTTCTTTTGAGTTGTGTATTTTTTTTTTGTGTGTGTGTGTGTGTATTTTTTTTTTTCGGGGGGCCGGGGGGAAGAGTGGACGGCGGAAGCCGTGTGCCTGTGCCCGGCCCGGAGGGAAAAATATCAGCCGCGCCCAGCATCTCAGGTTTCTCCCGACGCTGCCTGCGAGTCCCAGCAGCCCCAGCCGTGCCAGGGCTCAGAGATTGCTGCAAAGCAGAAGAAAGCAGGTAGTCCAGGTAGTCCTCAAGCAGACCTCAGAGCCGTGCACCGACCATCGGATGAATGTGGGGGTTTCTCTCCCTCTGACTCTCTTTTTGCAACGCCTTCCTGAAGTGATGACAGAGCCGTTCGGAAGGTGCACCGATCTCGCGGCGCTGGGCTGCCAAAGGCAGGGCTTTCAAAGCTTGCGGAGAGATGTGGATGGCCGGTGCAACTGCAGGCACCTCTCAGCGGAGTCTCGAGGGCGTGGGAGTCGTCGGATTGTTGGCCAGGCTCGGATCTCGTGATAGTACGCTGTGAAATGCTGCAACACTAGCATGGATCATTTGCCCATCCACAGTATGCATGTCCGCCCATCTACACTATGCCACCATGCCCTATCTCCACTCCAAAAGAGTTCTTCGAGCCCTCCGAGCCAAGTCCCTGGCTGCGGGCCACGCGATTGCGGCGGGCTCGACCCAGGCATCTGCAGGCCGCTCTCTGCCACCAGCGGTACTACGTCTTCACTAGATTCGGTCTTCGGTTTTAAGGAGCTGTTGGGGACAAGGTTTTCCGTGGCCTGTGTGTCTTCAATCATGACCCCTTGGCTGCTTTCTTGGCTGTAACAGTCAGGGGCAGCTCTCGGCCGTCACCCTCGAGGCAGGGGCAGTTTGGAGATGTGTCAAGTTTCTGATTAGCATTGCCGTAGCCTTGCATCAGGAGGCGCCAGCACGAACGGAGACCACGGAAGGTCGACAGCTCGTTGCTGAGGCAGAGAAACCCCAGACAGGAGGGCCTAGTACTGAAGCGGCAAGCGAGCGCGTCTCATGCATCTTCACGCACTTTCTCCGTTGGGTGTGTTGGGGGCTTGTTTGAATGTGGGGGTGTGTAACCCTAAGCCCTAAACCCTAAACCCTAAACCCTAAACCCTAAACCCTAAACCCTAAACCCTAAACCCTAAACCCTAAACCCTAAACCCTAAACCCTAAACCCCGCAAAGTCTCTGTCTGGTGCAGGTGGACGTCCTCAGCGTGTCGCGGCACCCCAAGGAGGCGGAGCTGCAAGTGCTCCAGGCCAGGGTGGGCCTTTCGAGTCTCAGGGTACATATGGGGCGCTTAGGGTTTAGGGTTTAGGGTTTCCCTAATATAGTCCCCCCCAAAAAGTAGGATTTCCCTTAGAATAAGGGCCCCAAAGAAGGTACCCCTCACTTTCGGAAACCCCCTAATATGGCGCCCCTTCTTGTAACCCTTCCTTTGCAGCGATCGCCCGAGAGCAGGTCTCGGATCCTGACTTCCCCTCGTCGCTGCCGGTGGTGGCCGAGGCCAGCCCTAAACCCTAAACCCTAAACCCTAAACCCTAAACCCTAAACCCTAAACCCTAAACCCTAAACCCTAAACCCCAAACCCCAAATGTCTCTGTGAGGTGCCTGAAGGCTTCGTGATGTCAACTGGGAAGCCGCTTTGTTGTTTGAGTACAGTCATGCGGCTGCGAAGGCTGGGAAGTGGAAGGCTGGCGACCGTGCCCTCTTGGTGCAGGCAGCCCGGCTACTGCGGCGGGGGTGGGGGGTCTCGAATGACAGCCAGAAAGCAGACCATTGCCTTGTTCTGCAAGAAGAAACAGAGAAGAATGACGAGTCCTTATGATGTCGTGTCCGTAGCTGTGCTTCGCGTGGAGAGGTGGGGAGCCGCATCCCACGTGGGTTTGCCAAGTTCGAGGGCGCTTTCCGCATCCTCGCGGGCCGTGCTGGGGATCTCAGAGGACAGTGGTCTCGGGGGCTCTGGAGTTTGAGAAGTTTGAGGGTCCCAGGGTGATTTCGTTTTGAAGCGAGCTTCGCCTTTTGTCGTTGCCGTTGTGGAGATGCTCGTGACCATTGTATTTGTGATGCTTTGTGACTGTTTGTTTCTGATGTGAAGTCCAGTTGGTCTGGTCCAACTCCGAGGAAGTTGCCCAAACTGTTGCTGCACAATTCGCGAAGCAAAGCGAAGCAAAGCTGGGGGTGGTGGCCTTCAGCGCCAGTCCTCCTGAGTTCCCTCATGGCTAGGGTCTGAAGCGCTCAGAGGCCTTGGCACAGACACAGGGGGACTTGGAGGGCCCGCTGAGCCTGCTGGGCGAGCCCAGCATGGGGCGCGGGAGCTCAGAACCCAAAGCCCTGAGTCGATTCAATTCTTCCCACCACGTGCACGGTGCGGGGTTCGTCTTTTTGCAGCACCAAGTAAGTGACCATGGCCTCTTGAAAGTCATGGCTCTTGCAGCACAAAGAAGCAGTGCTTTGCACCGCGACAAGAAGAAGCACCTAGACCTAGGCAGTAGACTGGACTGTACTGGCCTTGAGGATTCTGATCTCCAAGGAGGAGGCGCGACGCACGGAGGAGGTGGAGCCTCTGCAGGCTCTCGCTCGAGATTCGCTGCTTGATGCCTTTGGGGTTGAGGGTTTAGGGCTCTGAGGGTTATAGAGACCCAAACCTCAGGCGGTTTGTCGCCGCCCTTTGTGTCCCTTGACAGGCCTTTCAGTCCCGGATAGCTCTGGAAGCTGGGAGCTCAGTGTCTTCCGTGGAGTTGTTGGCGGCTACTTGTCGGTGATGGTTTTGTGGTTGCTGGCTTGCACGTGGTCTTCGGGATTCTGGGTCTTGAGCTCTGGCTGAAGTTGCCTTCAAAATTCGTTGGGCAGCACGAGCCCCCGTGCAAACTGTCGTGCATGATAAAGCCTTGTCAATCCCTCAACCTTTCGAAGCCCCTAAACTTTCAAGGCCCATTGTAGGGGGATCTCGAGGGTGCAGAAGGGGGCAGGGGAGAGCTAAACCCTAAACCCTAAACCCTAAACCCTAAACCCTAAACCCTAAACCCTAAACCCTAAACCCTAAACCCTAAACCCTAAACCCTAAACCCACAGTCTGCTCCCCTCGTTTGCTTGTTAGGGCTCACACGCAGTCTGAGCACCGAGCGGGACTTTGAGAGCGGGTGATTGGAGGCTTTAGGTTTTGTGCCACCTACGCAGTGGTCGGCCTGTTCTACTTAGACTTGCTCACCAGAATCCTCCCCTGTCAGAACCCCATGCTTCATCAATTCTGACAAGTCGGATTCCCTCATAAGAAGGACCCCCATAAACCCTAAACCCGATCAGTTGGGAACAATTTCTGACAACCCACAGTTCTGACCGAAGCATGTCTCCAGCTCGCCTTCTGCGGGGACGACTTTCGTGGCTCTCTCGGCAGCGATGCCTCCGTGGAGGCCGCCTGCTGACTGCTCTGCTTAAGAACCCTTAGAAAGTTCCAAGAAAAGTCCCTATATTGCCCTTATAAGAAAGAATCTTTTGTTGTGTGTGGGGGTTCCTAAGCAATTAGTAGACTGCGGCGACTGATGAGACTTCCGGGCCCGGTCTAGGAAGGGGGTCCTCTGTCATCTTGCTGCGAGGCTGCCGTTCGCACGGCGCTGCTGCAGGCTGCAAGAGAATGCAAGTGATCGGACTGTGCTGCAAGAGTCTTGAAGGTGGGTCCCAGATCTCTGGTTTCTTTTGTGATGGTATTGGCTATAGCCTTTGCGGGGTTCTTCGCAGCACCCCTAACATGCGTTCCTCGCATGCGAATCGCTTTGCAAATTATGCGATGGTCGGCATTCCTTGTGGAACAAGCGTGAAATCTTTCTTCAAGTACCGACATGATCCAACTTTGCATGCTGTTGCAGCGATCTCCACACCTTGCAGGTGGGCGTCGTGCCCCCGATGCAGAAGCCACCATTCCAGCGCATGGCTCTCAGACACGTCCACACCGCATCATCCGTTTGTGCTTGTCGTTGCTGTCAGACTGTCATCCGTCTCGGATTTCGCTGCTATGCGGGCCGGCCTGGTACCTTGATGCATCACCCGTGCAGCAGCCAATTCCCGGTTCAAGCAGCTCACTGCGTCTTTTGCCAAATCGTTTGACTCACCTCTTCGTACAATGTTCAGGTCTGCGAGCATTGCCATCCTCATCACCATTGCCAGCTCGCGCCGCGCCGGGGAGATCTCTCTGACGCAGAATCCGCAGGAGTGTGGAGCAGTGCCATCCACCAAGGAGTACTTCGATGGCCTGCGCAGCAGTTACAACATCGAGGAGTGCACCAAAAAGGACGTGTGCCTGCTGATGCGGCAGCTGGACGCCCACTTCTACACCCGCGCACGGAAGGGGCAACTTGTCGCCTACGACGAGCCTCCGCAGATGAGCTGGGTGCACAATGGGCGCTGCGAGAAGAACAGTCGCTCCATCAAGCTGGCCCCCGTCACAAAGCTTCACGCCTGTAAGGCTGCTGTCCGTGCCAAGGGCATCAGCAAGGTCAAGAAGGTGGAAGACAGCACTCTTCCAAGCGGCTGTAGCATCAGGAACGGCCGGGGCTACTTGAACGCGCTCCGCACGAACGTGGAAGCCGATGTGTCCTACGAGTCGTCGAATCCTGACAAGCCATGGGCACGGACGACCAAGACTGAGACCATCCAGTACTGCCAGGTGGACTACTCTTTGAACGAGGCGGCGGCGTCCTACTACTCGCCATACAAGCTGAAGCAAAACATGAGGGACAGGCCCCAGATGTCGACGAGCTGTTCCTTCGGCATGATGGCGAACCTATCCAGGCTGGAGCTTACCGACAGCCCCTGCGCCGAAATTCTGTCCTTCCGCCCGCACTACACCGCTGCCTACCCTCAAGCTGCAGATGCTCTGCAGGCAGCAGAGAGGATGGAGGCAGCAGGCAAGCAAGAAGATGCCGATGCTATCCGCACCGAGGTGGAGAAGGTTCGTAGCAAGTTCATCTTGATCCAGCTGATCACTACTGACTGGTGCCCTGCAATCTGGCGCGAGGCGATGGAACAAGACGCCACATGCTCTGCTCCGCGCTTTCCCAGCTGGGCGGCCAATGACTTTGTCCATGAAATGGGGATTGGAGAGGAAGACTTGGCCGAGCGGGCAGAGTACCTTGTGCGGGGCATCGGTGGCGAGACGAAGCAGGCACTCATGCAGTCCCGCACCCCGAAGATGGGCCTGCCGGAGGGCTTTTGCAACCACGTCTCGGACGTGGAGCTGGACGACGTCCTGGACCAGGTCTCGAGCTCCGTCCCGCCTGACTTCTTCGCCCACGCCACAGTGTAGGAGTTTAGGAAGGACCTCTAGGTGCTTGGGCTGAGATGTCAGCCTCAACTCGGATTATAAGCTGTGCGAGACTCAAAAGCCGCCGTTCCAGCGTATGGCTCTCTCAGAAACGTCCACACCGCATCATCCGTTTGTGCTTGTCGTTGCTGTCAGACTGTCATCCGTCTCTGATTTCGCTGCTATTGCGGGCCGGCCTGGTACCTTGATGCATCACCCGTGCAGCAGCCAATTCCCGGTTCAAGCAGCTCACTGCGTCTTTTGCCAAATCGTTTGACTCACCTCTTCGTACAATGTTCAGGTCTGCGAGCATTGCCATCCTCATCACCATTGCCAGCTCGCGCCGCGCCGGGGAGATCTCTCTGACGCAGAATCCGCAGGAGTGTGGAGCAGTGCCATCCACCAAGGAGTACTTCGATGGCCTGCGCAGCAGTTACAACATCGAGGAGTGCACCAAAAAGGACGTGTGCCTGCTGATGCGGCAGCTGGACGCCCACTTCTACACCCGCGCACGGAAGGGGCAACTTGTCGCCTACGACGAGCCTCCGCAGATGAGCTGGGTGCACAATGGGCGCTGCGAGAAGAACAGTCGCTCCATCAAGCTGGCCCCCGTCACAAAGCTTCACGCCTGTAAGGCTGCTGTCCGTGCCAAGGGCATCAGCAAGGTCAAGAAGGTGGAAGACAGCACTCTTCCAAGCGGCTGTAGCATCAGGAACGGCCGGGGCTACTTGAACGCGCTCCGCACGAACGTGGAAGCCGATGTGTCCTACGAGTCGTCGAATCCTGACAAGCCATGGGCACGGACGACCAAGACTGAGACCATCCAGTACTGCCAGGTGGACTACTCTTTGAACGAGGCGGCGGCGTCCTACTACTCGCCATACAAGCTGAAGCAAAACATGAGGGACAGGCCCCAGATGTCGACGAGCTGTTCCTTCGGCATGATGGCGAACCTATCCAGGCTGGAGCTTACCGACAGCCCCTGCGCCGAAATTCTGTCCTTCCGCCCGCACTACACCGCTGCCTACCCTCAAGCTGCAGATGCTCTGCAGGCAGCAGAGAGGATGGAGGCAGCAGGCAAGCAAGAAGATGCCGATGCTATCCGCACCGAGGTGGAGAAGGTTCGTAGCAAGTTCATCTTGATCCAGCTGATCACTACTGACTGGTGCCCTGCAATCTGGCGCGAGGCGATGGAACAAGACGCCACATGCTCTGCTCCGCGCTTTCCCAGCTGGGCGGCCAATGACTTTGTCCATGAAATGGGGATTGGAGAGGAAGACTTGGCCGAGCGGGCAGAGTACCTTGTGCGGGGCATCGGTGGCGAGACGAAGCAGGCACTCATGCAGTCCCGCACCCCGAAGATGGGCCTGCCGGAGGGCTTTTGCAACCACGTCTCGGACGTGGAGCTGGACGACGTCCTGGACCAGGTCTCGAGCTCCGTCCCGCCTGACTTCTTCGCCCACGCCACAGTGTAGGAGTTTAGGAAGGACCTCTAGGTGCTTGGGCTGAGATGTCAGCCTCAACTCGGATTATAAGCTGTGCGAGACTCAAAAGCCGCCGTTCCAGCGTATGGCTCTCTCAGAAACGTCCACACCGCATCATCCGTTTGTGCTTGTCGTTGCTGTCAGACTGTCATCCGTCTCGGATTTCGCTGCTATTGCGGGCCGGCCTGGTACCTTGATGCATCACCCGTGCAGCAGCCAATTCCCGGTTCAAGCAGCTCACTGCGTCTTTTGCCAAATCGTTTGACTCACCTCTTCGTACAATGTTCAGGTCTGCGAGCATTGCCATCCTCATCACCATTGCCAGCTCGCGCCGCGCCGGGGAGATCTCTCTGACGCAGAATCCGCAGGAGTGTGGAGCAGTGCCATCCACCAAGGAGTACTTCGATGGCCTGCGCAGCAGTTACAACATCGAGGAGTGCACCAAAAAGGACGTGTGCCTGCTGATGCGGCAGCTGGACGCCCACTTCTACACCCGCGCACGGAAGGGGCAACTTGTCGCCTACGACGAGCCTCCGCAGATGAGCTGGGTGCACAATGGGCGCTGCGAGAAGAACAGTCGCTCCATCAAGCTGGCCCCCGTCACAAAGCTTCACGCCTGTAAGGCTGCTGTCCGTGCCAAGGGCATCAGCAAGGTCAAGAAGGTGGAAGACAGCACTCTTCCAAGCGGCTGTAGCATCAGGAACGGCCGGGGCTACTTGAACGCGCTCCGCACGAACGTGGAAGCCGATGTGTCCTACGAGTCGTCGAATCCTGACAAGCCATGGGCACGGACGACCAAGACTGAGACCATCCAGTACTGCCAGGTGGACTACTCTTTGAACGAGGCGGCGGCGTCCTACTACTCGCCATACAAGCTGAAGCAAAACATGAGGGACAGGCCCCAGATGTCGACGAGCTGTTCCTTCGGCATGATGGCGAACCTATCCAGGCTGGAGCTTACCGACAGCCCCTGCGCCGAAATTCTGTCCTTCCGCCCGCACTACACCGCTGCCTACCCTCAAGCTGCAGATGCTCTGCAGGCAGCAGAGAGGATGGAGGCAGCAGGCAAGCAAGAAGATGCCGATGCTATCCGCACCGAGGTGGAGAAGGTTCGTAGCAAGTTCATCTTGATCCAGCTGATCACTACTGACTGGTGCCCTGCAATCTGGCGCGAGGCGATGGAACAAGACGCCACATGCTCTGCTCCGCGCTTTCCCAGCTGGGCGGCCAATGACTTTGTCCATGAAATGGGGATTGGAGAGGAAGACTTGGCCGAGCGGGCAGAGTACCTTGTGCGGGGCATCGGTGGCGAGACGAAGCAGGCACTCATGCAGTCCCGCACCCCGAAGATGGGCCTGCCGGAGGGCTTTTGCAACCACGTCTCGGACGTGGAGCTGGACGACGTCCTGGACCAGGTCTCGAGCTCCGTCCCGCCTGACTTCTTCGCCCACGCCACAGTGTAGGAGTTTAGGAAGGACCTCTAGGTGCTTGGGCTGAGATGTCAGCCTCAACTCGGATTATAAGCTGTGCGAGACTCAAAAGCCGCCGTTCCAGCGTATGGCTCTCTCAGAAACGTCCACACCGCATCATCCGTTTGTGCTTGTCGTTGCTGTCAGACTGTCATCCGTCTCGGATTTCGCTGCTATTGCGGGCCGGCCTGGTACCTTGATGCATCACCCGTGCAGCAGCCAATTCCCGGTTCAAGCAGCTCACTGCGTCTTTTGCCAAATCGTTTGACTCACCTCTTCGTACAATGTTCAGGTCTGCGAGCATTGCCATCCTCATCACCATTGCCAGCTCGCGCCGCGCCGGGGAGATCTCTCTGACGCAGAATCCGCAGGAGTGTGGAGCAGTGCCATCCACCAAGGAGTACTTCGATGGCCTGCGCAGCAGTTACAACATCGAGGAGTGCACCAAAAAGGACGTGTGCCTGCTGATGCGGCAGCTGGACGCCCACTTCTACACCCGCGCACGGAAGGGGCAACTTGTCGCCTACGACGAGCCTCCGCAGATGAGCTGGGTGCACAATGGGCGCTGCGAGAAGAACAGTCGCTCCATCAAGCTGGCCCCCGTCACAAAGCTTCACGCCTGTAAGGCTGCTGTCCGTGCCAAGGGCATCAGCAAGGTCAAGAAGGTGGAAGACAGCACTCTTCCAAGCGGCTGTAGCATCAGGAACGGCCGGGGCTACTTGAACGCGCTCCGCACGAACGTGGAAGCCGATGTGTCCTACGAGTCGTCGAATCCTGACAAGCCATGGGCACGGACGACCAAGACTGAGATCATCCAGTACTGCCAGGTGGACTACTCTTTGAACGAGGCGGCGGCGTCCTACTACTCGCCATACAAGCTGAAGCAAAACATGAGGGACAGGCCCCAGATGTCGACGAGCTGTTCCTTCGGCATGATGGCGAACCTATCCAGGCTGGAGCTTACCGACAGCCCCTGCGCCGAAATTCTGTCCTTCCGCCCGCACTACACCGCTGCCTACCCTCAAGCTGCAGATGCTCTGCAGGCAGCAGAGAGGATGGAGGCAGCAGGCAAGCAAGAAGATGCCGATGCTATCCGCACCGAGGTGGAGCAGGTTCGTAGCAAGTTTATCTTGATCCAGCTGATCACTAATGACTGGTGCCCTGCAATCTGGCGCGAGGCGATGGAACAAGACGCCACATGCTCTGCTCCGCGCTTTCCCAGCTGGGCGGCCAATGACTTTGTCCATGAAATGGGGATTGGAGAGGAAGACTTGGCCGAGCGGGCAGAGTACCTTGTGCGGGGCATCAGTGGCGACACGAAGCAGGCACTCATGCAGTCCCGCACCCCGAAGATGGGCCTGCCGGAGGGCTTTTGCAACCACGTCTCGGACATGGAGCTGGACGACGTCCTGGACCAGGTCTCAAGCTCCTTCCCGCCTGACTTCTTCGCCCACTTGGAGCATGGTACTCACTAACCAATTATAACTGTACTTATAACCCTACTTATAATACCCCTAAAGGGCCTTATAAGGGTTATCCCAATTATAAGTAGGGTTATAAGCCCAGTTATAAGTGGTTATTAAGTCCCATGAGCCTCCAAGCACGCCACAGTGTAGGAGTTTAGGAAGGACCTAGGTCTAGGTGCTGAGATGTGCTTCGCGAGGCGGCGAGGCAAGACTCAGAATCAACGCGAAATTAAAAAGCTGCGCGAGCTCGGCGCCTCCGCGGACCAAAGAAGGGCTCACTGCCACGGGTTTTGTCTGTTTGCAACTCCAAGCATTTCCAAGCCCATGTCTTCAAACCCTGCAGGTATGAGCCGCACGGACGCCGGGGTCCACGCCCGCAGCTTTCGGCTTGTAGTGCCGAGGCTGCGAGTGCAGGCCGGAAGGTTCGCAGTCTCCAAGGGCTGCAGCGTGTCGCAGCTGTAGGTTTGGGCCGAGGGGCTTGGGCTTCAGTGGTGGTTTTTCCATGTGCAAGTCCATTCAAGCTTCAAGGCCATTCTTTGACCTTTTTTTGTGCGTTTGTAGGGAACGGGGCCTGTGGTCCTTCC